AAGTTAAATAAAATTTAATGTGCTCGACTGGCTGGTTGGGTGCTCAATGTCAAAGGCAGCCCACCCTTGGAACAGGAGCAGAAGCATTAAGAACAGCCGTCACACACGGCCAGGACTCGAGCGTGAGCAATATACTGTGACTAAACGGTTTATGTTTGTTGGCCTTTCAATTTGAGGCACGCGTCCACCGCCTCGGGGAGAGTCCTGCCACCTTTTCTGGTCCTCCATTGGTGGCGGTGGTGGATTTGTTTGACTTCTGCTCTCAAGCCGTTTGTTTGTCTGTCTGTTTGTTGCATGTTTGCTGAGAAAAATCTGTTACAAGGCAACAGTCGCCAGTTTCACGCTTCAACGAAACCAAACACACATTACTAAGTGAATCGAGTGAGCAAAGAGCTTGCCAGGCAGGGCCATTTATCAAGGACACGAGTGTCCTCGACAGCCACGGCTTGTCCTTGGCAGACTTGTGTTAGCCAGTTTTGCCGTTTTGTGTTTTCGTGTCCCTGGCAGTGTCAGTTGGATTCTCGTTTAGTATTTGCCGAAGGACACTGCCAGGATTACTAGCAAAGAAATGTTGTTTGCAACAGAAGCTTGGGAGTAAAGTAATAATTCATAAAGTAAGTTGGTTGAGGGGAAGGGAATATAAATCTTAGGTATAAATTATTACGAATTAGTATTGAATTATTAATAAATCTTTACTTAGGTTAGAAAGGATGTATATGATAATCACAAAACGATTGCAACAATTTATAAATATATTTTAAGATTTATTTATTTTACTTTCTTAATATCTGTATACGTTTTAATAATATCCAAAATACACTTACCAAATGCCGTAAGTTTTCCTGTCCTTTCGGACAATTTATACCCGTTCGGATTAAGCGACATTTTCTCTTCTGCAATTAAATGAAAAATATAAAATTAAATCCTTAAAAAATATACATATGCAAATGATGTAGACACTAAATGGTAGACATATATAGTCCTGGGGAGCAATAAATGGAGCAAAGCCAAATGAAGTGAGTCAATGTTATGTAACATGCAGACCCTGAAGCAGGTGTTACATAAGTCCTTCGCCTTCGCTCCTATCGCGCAATATCCTTTCTTTCCCGCCAGCATACACAAATTGCATAACCAACAAGACAAACAAACAAGCAAAATCCACAGAGAGTGTGAAAATGCAATGGGCGTGTAAATAAACAAAAAGGAAGGTGGTTGAAAGGATGGTGTGGTGGTAGGGAGGCTATCGACCATAGCCCAAAACCAAGGACAAGTGAAGGGCAAGCCCAGTGTGTGGGAGGTAAATATCATTGGAATACATACATATATACACACAGATTTCAGATTTGAGGACACCTCCTCGCCATTTGGCGCCATCTGCTATTGCGCAGTGAGCGCCATCTAAACTAATTTCCTGACTATATGTATACTATATACTATCTGCATATAGATTGGGATATATATATATATATATGTATTCATTGGATTTACATGGGGATACAGACAGCGCGACAGCTGCAGTTAATGGCGAAAACCTTGGACAGTACAAGAAACTTATGCAACCAAAAGGATATACGTCTGCGGGTCTTACCGATTATCCTGCGGATATCGTCGATGTACTGCTTTAGATAATTCACTTTGACTGTGTTTGTGGCACCGACGCTGATCGAAAAATTACTGATTGGGGATGTGCGAGGACGAAATGCGAAATGTATCTCTAAGATGGAGAGTGCTGTGCTGATTCTACTTTTGTGGGCCACTAAATAATCGAATAACTTACAACACAGAGTTCCTTTTTAAGCAAACACTTTGGTTTAAGATTTCTTTTTCGAAAAGAAAACACTCGTCGGACGGAGCTATAACTTGCTAACTCTCTCAATAACTTTTCGAATTTGGAAATAAATTGAATTTATTTAGAGATTTTGTAGTTTTTAGTTGACAAACTGAGGGAACTGAGCAGCCTACACTCGCTGACGATCTGCGGAGCTATGAGCAGCAGCATCCGCCACGGCTGCCTACGAAGCTTTTCATTCCCGCAAAATGGCTGCCCACACAGATACACACATTCAGATACACCTACAGATACAAATACATATATTGCTGGCAGGATACTCCTCCAGCTCTTGCATAACCTTCACCAACAGAGAAAGTGAGAAATTCCCATGGAGTCTCTCGGTTGTGACGTCATCGATTTTTGGGCAACCATTTTTGTTTGAGCCATTTTGTGTGGGCGGAGCTAAGTGAGCCCCAGTGGGCGGTCTGTTGTGCCCCAAAGCAGTATCTAGCAGATACACACGAATCGTGAAAAAGAAAAGGCCAAAAACGAGATGTAAGTGTGCGCAAGCCTGAGGAAAGGACATGAAACGCAAAAAATTAGGTTCAAAGAGGGGCGAGAAAATGAAAAGCTAATTAACAAACTAATTTTGCCACTGTTTCTGACATTTACAATGGCCCACAACTTTTTATGAGAGTTCCTTCCGAATCGTGGCAAAAAAAAACGGCATGTGGAAGTCCCTATAATTACTCCCGCTTTTGCCATATGAAATACATGCTTTTATTTACTTTCTATATATTATTCTATAGATACATACATATGTACCTACATATATGTAGCTCTAGGTATATAGACCAATTTCAAATTTAGGTCAAAGCTAGGTTCCCCTTCCCACTCATAAAGATATATATCTCGCAGTGAAATTGCATCATTTCCAAAAGAGCAGTTTTCATAGCATACTTTTCAGATTCCCACACGCACACAACCGCACACAGTGATATTTGGAAAGGTTATGTAACTCTTCGAAGGGATCTGGGGGAAATGACGTCTATCAAACTGTAGGAGCTTAAACAACGAGAGCAGCAAAAAACACTTCCCTTGACAGATCTTCTCCCACTCTTATCTGACAGCCAACAGCTGCCGAGGATGCTGAGGATGCTTTGCATAGTCCTGGTGTAGTCCTTGTAAAGGACCTTTTGCGTCAACGTTATTGATGTGAAGGCTTTGGCACTCGACAAGAATGTTTCGCAATGCAATTTAGAAGCGATTTTACTTCCAAAATAAGTGCCATCATCATTCTTTAATTTATTTTATCTGCGAATCTTTATGATGAAAGTTAAATAATGAAATTATATTGTTCCTTGGAAGGAAATTAAATTTTAATTAAATTTTCTTGTTAAAAGCTTTGATGGGAAAAGAAAATAAACAGTATAAGATGTAACTTTAAGATGTCTGTGACTAGTTTTGTAGCGATCTGTAATATTTTACAGCTTTATAGTTTTTAAATTAAAAATCACGTGATCAGAATTAATTAACACGGCCCATACTTTACAAAAACTAAACCAACAACTTATTGTTAATTCTTTATTTAAGCCCGACCACCCATCCATCACAGGTGTCACTCAAATATTTGCGATAGCCGAGCAAACACCTTATGGTATTCGGTATTTAGACTGTCTGAATATGGCGAAATATGGAGTAGAGTCAGAGCTTATCTGTAGCCACTTCAGTGGCATGTGCTACCAATAATAATTAGCCATTTTGGCCAGAATGCGAGAGCCAATGCGATAGCATATCCACTGATTCCCACTCGACTCTATGACACCAAAAGATAAAGCCATCAAAAGCATTTATTATTGGCAAGAGAAATTGTCGCATTGGCTTACTTTTTGGGATGGCCGGTGGCTCAGTTAACCAACTGCTACCATTTGGATCGGACAGCTTTATAAAAGTCGAGGGGAATTAAAACTTATAGCAATTTGAGTGGAAGCAGGTGGAGCGAACGACTGAATTAAATCGAGTTGAACTTTTTATCAAAAGCAGTAAGTTGTAAATGGGAATGGCAACAAAACCAGACACGGATAACAAAGGATAACAAGGTTTTGAGGATACCCTAGGATGCAAGGCATATTTTTTTAGGAAACTGTTTTGGATTTTCTATCCTTAAAAATAATTTGAAATGTTTTGAAAGTTTTACAAGACCTTTTTCATCAGTCTTAACTATTATAAACCTTTTTGTTTTAAAGATATAACTTTTTATTATAAAGGAAAACTTTTTCCTAAGGATTTGTAAAGTCAAACTCCTTATAAAAAATGATCCTTAGTTGAAATAAATTTCAAAACCAATTTTACTATAAAACCCCAAACGTTACCAAGTGTTTAAAAAAACCAAAAGTATCCTTTTGAGTATCCTCCGAAAGGGTACTTAGTGCACAGTCTAGTGAACAGAACAACATACTAAACCCTTCAGTTGGAAATGAAAAAGAATAGACTCACCTGGCTGGGATTGTACGCAGCGCAGATAGGCCCTGTAACCCAGATAGGCGAAAATCTTTGGAGCGTTCTGTCTCACCCCGCGAATGGCTAATTCAATCGGAGTGTTTTAGCCAGGCCGACACGTCCTCTTTCGCACTCGACTCTCAACTGTGCGACTCAGAACGGAACTCTCTATGCTACATGCCTGTAAAAATTTCATCCGGGCACACAAATTTTTGGAGTTCTTGAGAAAGGGAGAGAGGGACATGGAGTCCTGTCTGCTTAGGTTGTCATTAAAATGACAAAATAAAGTTTGGCCAGGTTGGTTAGCTCAGGTATTTTTGTTACAGCATGCCTGGGAAGTCTCTTTTAGTGGCGTGGCCAGGATTCCTGAAACATCGCTAAACTTGGCTCAGATCCAGGCGATTCCATAACCCTTTTGGGTTTGCAAAATCAAGCGCATGAAATTCGGATTTCAAATGCCCGGAATAACAATGCCGAGGAGGCTTTGCCTGGTTCGGGGGATGGGCATGAGGAAGGACTGCGGAGGAGTATATCGCAAAGGCCGTGTTTTTGCTGCCTATTTTTGAGCGCGCGATAATTGCATTTCGAGCACAATTGCTCCTATTGTAAGGGGCCAAACAGCCTCCATTTTATCCTTCCACCCAACAAGGATTGCCCGCTGTCCCCCACACTCTAAATCTCCCTTAATCCCACCCCCACATCGTGTTGTAAAGTTTCCATCTCATTCTAGCCCAGCGATGGGAAAGCGTGCGGAAAAGCTAAGGAAATGTGGATGGTTCCTCGTCCTGTCATTGGCCACTTGCTTGGTCCTTTCTGCGCCGACGCCGGCTATGACGTCATCGGTGCTGCTTAAGGACGAAGCTTCTGGGGATGCTGCGTTGGCACTGCGGGCCGCAGCCAAAAACCTTGAAGACGCCAAAACCGTCAGCGCAGTTCAGGATTGGAGTTTGCTGTGTAAAGAGCTCTGCGGGTAAGTCTCGGATAAACCCAAGACCCAGACTCTATTAATTCCCATACTAGTGTAGAGTGGAGTCTGATAGTTTGAAAGTCAGAGTCTGAGTCAAATTTTAAACAAGTGTTTGCCAATGGCAAATCGGTTAGAATTTAAATCAAACATTTTTGACTATGATTAAATTTCGGGTATTGGGTACTGTCATAGAAAAAATCATATTCGGGCTCATTACTCGTGTTTGGAACTTGTTCGTTGACATTTACTGGAAACGAAAAGTTCAATACTTATACCCGAAGCAAACGGAATAAATCAAACAGAGTACTGAATCAGTACTCGATTATGAACAAAAATTTTATACTCGTTGCAGTTCTCTGTTTGCCATACAGTGAGAGGAGGTTTTCCCCAGCTAGTGAACACTCATCATGATAATGAAAGGCTGAAAAGTAAACGTGTGTGTTGATTAGTGGCCCTGGAAAGCGACGGCATTTCGAGTGTTTCCTATCAAAAATTTTCCTAATCTCGACTGTCAGCTAATTATTGAACACATTGTTTATATCTGTTTCCCAGCCAAGTGCGTTGCGTGTTTTCCAAGTGTTTAATCCGGTAGTGGAAATTATTTGTTAATTTTATTTCCACTCCAGATAAGATTTTAGGTGCAAGGAAACCTAAGTGCAGTCAAGAAGTGATTTTTGGATATGTTTTAATATAAAATTTAACTCAAATGCCAGTTGGAAGGGTTTTAAAGACATTATATAATTGAAAATGGAATCTAAAGGGGGCCTGAAACTTATACCCAAAAATATATTCGCAACTGGAATATATCCGGTTTTAGTATTCTTATATTCCAATAAAAATTAGTTACATAAAAACGAAAAGAAATAAAATAATAAATAAATAATAATAATAAAATAATAATAAATATTAGCCAATTTTTTTTGATAATTATAAAGAGGAAAAATATCATATTGCTTTGAAGATGTTCACGATCATATACTTGTATTTATAATATTGGGTACTTTTTTATTTATAAGAGATTCTTATAATATTTTAAATTTTTTTGTACCTTTCTAGAGCTGGCCTGGGCGTTGTTTCGACGCCTGAAGAGGCCAAGGACACGATCCTGAGACCAGAGTCGAAAGTGGCCAAGTGTAGGCAATTTTGTGGACTGTCTAAGGGTAAGTACGATCTTTAAAGATCCTACAAATAATACACAATCTAATACAAGGTTAAAAAGTAATTTTTTTGTAACTTTTGAATATTATGAAAAATTGGCTTTTTTTAAAAAATGTTTTAGTTCTAAAAGTTATTAAAATATATTCATATTTATATTTATTTTGTATTAATGTATTTTATTAAATCATTTCCAGATAATTGGGGCGATCGAGTGTGTTCGACGTTTTGTCGTCAACAAAATCGCGCCCTGTCCGGCTGCAGTCCTTGCCAGCAGGCGGTGCCTGGAGTGGAGAAGGATGAGGAGGAGATGAAAATGGCCAGTGAAATACAAGATGATGCTTCACATGGTTCCGGATCCGTGACTTCACCCAAACCAGTCGCAGTGGTGGCCATTGCTGCCACGGACACCGATACAACGACTGCGTCTCCGGACTGGAACGAATTGTGCAAGGCTCTCTGCAAGACTGGCGATGGCGGGTCTTTGTGCAACTGTGATTTATCGCCATTCTTCAGCTGAGGGGTTCCAGTCTCTTCAAGCGGATGAGGATCCCTCGCGACGGAGGTGCTAGATCACTAAACCGATTATATATACTTCGAGTTATGTTGTTCTTCGTTTTTTGACTTGAGTTAGTGCTAGTGTTGTCTTTATAAAAATATTCCTTATATATTTCATATTCAAAATCTTGTTGCGAAAGTTTAGTTCAATACTGTAAAAAAAAAGAAAACTATAAGAAACAGCTAAAAAAAAAAATACAATATAAAGGAGATGAAGAAGGACGAGGACGAGAAGCAAAAAATTCCCTATGCGAATCAATTAATTTGTAATTAATTTCAATTAAACGTAACTATAGAAAAAGCTATAGATTAAGCGACGGGGCAACCCTGTCGGAGGAAACAACAAAGATCACAAAGGGCTTCCAGTGTTCCGCTTCGGAGGACGAGGTATCCTTTAAAGAAATTTGATGGATGCTCAACTTCCGTTGTGGGCACAACCCATAATTAAGTGATTAGTCGAGAAGTTTGAACTAAGGAGACACAAGCAAAAAAATCAACAACCAACAAAATATCAAAGTACACAACATATCGTGGTATTAACTGCCACAAAACACCCACTTTATTTGGATTATCCCTTGGTTCGATGGAATCAGCATATCAATTTACCATGAGGCAGAAGCAAGTTGGTATCCAAAGAATTTCGTTTGTTTTGGCTTACAAGTTATTGGCAAATCAAAAAGCGTTGATATATTCAAATCAGCATCAATTATACGTGTCGCAATTAGGCCAAAGTGCCAACCAAGAGTTTAGTGTTGGTTACGGCCCTTAAACCATATAAATATATAAATATATATATATATATAAATATTAAATTGGTCTATATATCCATACAAATGAGTTGCGATTGCAAATCAGAAACTCAGTACGGGTGACATGGATCTACCAGACCCGTTTATACATAATATCTAGGTGTCATAAATTGTAAACAAATACGTTTATAAATTATATGTTATAAATTATGTATGTATGCTAATAATATCTATGTGTTTGGAAGACATTTTTTCGCATTGTATTGTAAATGGAAGACAATTTCAGCAGGCAACATCATCTGCTCGAGCATTCTGGAAGAAAAAGCGTCAATCAGTAGAATCAGTGCCACCAACATCGGCAATCTGTCACTTTAGTCCCTAAGAGCTTAACTATAAACAAACTATTATAATATTATTATTAATATCCAAAAACTATTTCGATTTCAAACTCGAAAGTATAGTCAATATAAAGGCACACGTCGCTGTGACTGACAATAAATAACTATAACTTAGGAGGAGAACAGCAGGCAAGGAAGTTCACATACTCAGTGTCTAAATACCAGTACTTATGGATTATGTATTAAATATTAATCGCGCACTTAACAAGTATATCAAAAATATACATATATATATTGCACCAATGTTAATCTAGAAGAAAACAAAAAACTTATAAGGCAATTTTCAGAGCACATTCATTGATAACCTAATGCGGCTTCAGTATGTATATCGATGTGTAGCATGTTAATCACTTAAAAAAATATATATAAAAAAATGCACTTTACATTTATGTATATGTATATGTGTTAGGCGTTGCGTTTCTGCCATGAATACATCGGCTAACTAAACCCAAAACACACACGAATTAAGCCGGAATAATATCATAGTTGGTAATCAACTAAAACATCATCATCAATTACGATTACAGAGTCGAAAACCCGTTTTGAACCGATTACATAGTTGTTTTTTATTTTTTACCATAATATACAAGCTAAATACGAAATTATAAACAAACTTAAACTCAAATAAAATAACCAAACAACTAAACAACCAAGCAAAGTAAAGGCAATTATATCTATTACATGTTAAATGTTGTAAAGCCCCTCTAAACAAAAACAAAAAACCTAGGAAATTTGTGTCTTAATGGGGGAAAGGATAAAGGATTGGGAAAATGTTTCGTTTTATCAGAAAATAAAGTATTTTCCGGTTTTTTCGCGGTCAAAAATTCAAATTCTATGCTTACGCACTGCTTGCTCGATAAATATTGATTTATCGAAAGACGATAAATTGCTAGAGATGACAGCTACTGCAAACTATAAAAGCAGTTCATAAAATAACGAAAGCGGTCTTTTAAATTTTTAAAATTTATCTCCCATTTTCAGATAAACACACTTTTCTTGTTAATTTGTTTATTTCGCATAGTAGTTTCCAACTCAATCATTAAATAGAGAAGTTTTAACATAAACTGGACGTGTTGTTTGCATTATAGGTAAATATATTAAAATTAAAGGTTCAACGTTGATTGCTCTCGTGTACAAATATTTAACAAAGTCATCAGTATAAATTTCAACTTATCTTACGAGGAAAAACAAGGAAGATCCATTGTGCTTGACGCCTTGGGTGTCGTTAGTTCGTTAGTTCGATCTTCGCGAGTTAAGTACAAAAGAAGGCTAGTTTCTTTGCTGTCTGTGCTCAAATCGGGGATCAGAACTAAATCTGGGATCTGGGATCGTTATAGGCATAAATCAATCTAAACGTTAATTCATATCAATTCTTTCATCCGCAATTATTTTCTACTTCCTCTGAATCTTCTGTTTTTGTGTCTGATGCTGCTACAATTTCTCAGATTTCGATGCCATTAGCACAGTTTGTTACATTGCAAAAAATGCTTACAAAAGATTCTAGTTATACTATGACAGTTTACAATTGGCAAGTATGAATCGTTATTTTTGTTAAGTATCTGAATTTTTGTTTCCTGTTAGTAAAGTAACCGCTCCGACGTGTCTTTTTAAGTATTTCTTTCTGGTCTTTTGTTAATTGAATGTTCCCTAACTAATCGACATGCGATTAGACAGTCGCCTTCATCATTCGCCCGCCAACTCATCGATACGACAGCGCACGGCATGCTCCAGCACCTCGAGACTGGCGTAGTCCAGCTCCTTCACCAAGCACAGTGTGGCGGACAGCAGATTAGAGTTCTACGGATATCAGATATGAATCAATTATTGATTACAGGAAATAATATGATTAATACTCACTCTGTTGACGGGTCTACGGTGGTAGCCCGCATAGTGATTCATCACAGAGGCGGCAAGTGTGGTGGTCGAATCGCTGAAACGACCATCGGGACGCCTTTGAAAAAGTAAGACATAATACCAATTAGGATTATTAGCACCCAAGTGTTAAAAGTTTATAGATCGTCTTAAATTCAAATGGATTTCAAACGAGGGTTCAACAAATGACATATATTTGTGAAAAGTTTAAAAGTAAACTTAAAATTCAGATAAAATTAAAATATTTTAAATAATTAGCAATTTTCATTCAACAAACCGCTAAAATTTCCCTCAAATTGGGAAACTAATAACCTATAAACTAATTTATTCATCTAATGACCTGTGTCAATGACCTCACCTTGTCCTGGGTGTGGCTGCTTCCCATTCCGATTCGCCACCGTTCTCCCGGGCACTGCCATTCCGATACCCGTAGCGCTCTCCACTTTCGGGTCCTGCGCTGCGACGCTGTGGCGGATGATGCAACTGCATCTGGCTGCCATAGGGATTGTGATGCACCTGGGGTGCCTGGTGCTGTTGATGTTCCTCCCATTCAGTGAGGTCCGTCTGGCTGTGTCGGTAGTGTGCCGGGTAGGCGCTTCTTTCCGACTGATAGTATTCCTGTACGGGAATACCACAATTAGAGAGCGTCATCTTTATCTTCACCCAGCGATTCCGTTTGTGGCACCGTCCCGGAAAGGACCGGCTTACCTTCATTGAGTGCGAGGAGATGCTGGGTGGAAGGGGCGTTGGCCGCACCTCCCTGTAACCCAGGTGTGGACTACTCTCCTGGTCGGAACCCGGTGAGCGCTGAGTAGTTACGTTGCGTTGAGTTAGTAGTGCGGTTTGCAGTTTAGTTTTGGGGGTTTAATTACATACGATTGCATTTTTTGGGCATATTGTGTGTATGGTTGGTGGGAGAAAGGCGGCAGATTAGAAAAGTTAGATCCAAACTGACAACTCGAAACACCAGAGCAGTCCCGACATGACAGGATGGGCAATTAAAAGAGCTTTTGGGGGATAATGGAGATTACTTTTTACAAAGAGAAGATACCCATTTCCAAACAGAAGGAAATACTTTCTCATTTCGACCTAATCCCCAATTATTTCTTCGTGTGTATGCATATATAATGGCCCCCTTTAATATGGTTCAGTTTTGGGCTCTTGTCTTGAGCTTCTTTGGCAATTATTGTGCCTCCCCCAGTTCCCAGTTCTCCGACAAAGTCAAGCGAGTGACTTAACCCACAAAACCGGCAAACAGACAATGGCCCATTGGCCGAACTAAGAGGAAAACTGGAGAACCTTAACCATGTCGAAGCCATTGCGTGACAGTACCCCCTCCCGAGTACCTCTTCTCCCCCTCTCCGGTCGAGTGTGACGGGCCTACCACACCCTTCAACAAAAAAACAAAAAAAATATACATATATATATAAGGGCCCCAAAAGTGGGCCCGACAACAAGCTCAATTCAGTCATGTTGGATGCGTGGGGCTCGGCTGTGGTGTTTCTAGTTATTCTACTGGTGGTGTTTGGAAGTGGTGGTGGTGGTGGGGAAGTGGATCTTACATCGTACTGGTGGTAGTTGGTGCGCTGCTCTTTGGTTATAGTGTTATACATGGGCGATGGCGGATGCACGGGTTCCTGGGAAGAGGCCGAATCGAGATTAGTAGGGCTTTTCTTTTGTTTTTCCATTTTAATTTTGATTTAAAAAATAAAACTTTTTTTAAATACTAACTATAACTGAATAATCAAAATAAGCTAAAAAATCAGAAAGCAAAAAACAAAGCCCTTTTTTTTTAGGTCTCCAGCTAAGATCCCTTTACCTTGGTGGGCGTGGGAGGCTTGGAGTTGCTCACCGGCTGAGCCGGCTGAACTTGTGTCCCATAGAGATCACTGGCACTGTGGGTGATGGTCGTCGCTTCGCTGCTGCTGTGGTTGGCCAGCGGACTGGCTAACTGCGGCGGCTGGTTAGTGAGACGCAGCACGGTTAATGGGTTCAAAGGTAACAGACATTAGATGAAAAGGGGGAAGGGGGCGAAAGAGTTGATTATAGAGTTCATTACAGTCCCAAAAGAGAGATTAGAGCCGCTAAACCAGGGCGTGTTGTGGGAATATCCACAGAGACAATGGATGCCATTTACCTCTTTCATGGGACTGGAGCTGCGTCGCTGCTGATGCGGTTGCTGCTGCTGCTGCTGTTGTTGCTGCGACTGCGGCTGTTGATGATACTGTTGCTGCTGCTGCGGCGGCGAGTGTTGCGGGTAACTGTGTTGTTGTTGCTGTTGGGGCATCTGCTGCGGTGACGCTCGCTGTTGTTGTTGCTGCGGCTGATAGGCATCCTCATAGACATCATCCTCGGTAGCGGCGCTGCCACCGGCACGCAAAGCATCGTCCACCTCCTCCTGGGTGACCTCCACATTGTCGAGCTTCTTGAGGTTTGGCAGGGCGCGTAAGACGATCGCTCGATAGCTGTCATTGTGGTTAGATGGAGGTGATGAAAATCATTAGGGGCTTCCATAAACCGCAAATTCAAATAATATTAATACTAATCTAAATATATTGCTAAAAAAAAATAGATAGATTTACAAGCAAAACCCATTTATAGACAGGAGCCGATGTTGAAATACCCCTGCAGTTGAATGTCAGTTTATTTTATTAAATTGTATAGGATTGGATATGTACTGCAAATATTGGATATAGTTGGCAATCGGAGTTTCATTATTAAAATAATTTTCTATAATACAAATTTTGAAAAAGTCCAAAACTTCTATCTTCTAAAAAAAACTATCTATCTATCTATCTTCTATAAAAACTTCTTCTTGAAAAACACCAAAGTTTTGGCAAATGACAACAATGAAATCACAAAAAAAAATTTACACAACAAAAATTACAACAAAAAATTAAAAAAAAAAATTACAACAAAAAAAAATTACAACAAAAAAAGTTACAAAAACAACAACAACCAAAGCTTGCAACAACATAAAAGTTACAATTACAACAACAAAGGCAAACAAGAAAAAAACCTATTTTTTTCGAATTTCCGGGCCTGCTTAAGTGCAACCTATGAGAATCGAGGAGGAGGGCGATTCAATTTTTTATTAAATAATTTTTTTTTAATTAATTATTTTTTAATATTTTTTTGTATAGTTACCAAATTAAAGCATATTCTAAAATGGTATCATACGCAACAAAATGCTACAATTTTACCCTTTATTAGTGTTAGACTTCCAGGCGATTAAAGCATCCATACTAAGGCCAAAAATTAAACTTAACAAATATTAAAAACTAGGCATTTCAGATCATTCAGTTATATGACAGCTATGGGCTATAGTTTCCCGATCCCGCCCAAATAATAATACCATCTGAAAGGGTATAATTATAGAAAGTTACTTATCGGCATGTACATTAAACCTAAAAGCTGTTTTTCTATAAAAACACGTCTAGTTCGTGCCAAGTACCGAAATAATTTTACTTCTATCAAAGCTACAAGCCAGTACAATTGTCTTTTTTTTAAAGAAATATACTTTCTCGTAAACAGAATATAGATATAATTATACTTACTTGGGGCCCGCTCGATCACAGCAGGGATTCTCCTCCAGCCAGAGGTATTTGAGGGCCGGCAGACTTTGTAGATAGGCTATCTCATTAATGTCCGAGATGTTGTTCTTCCGCAGATACAGTTCCTGTAACTTTGTGCAGTCTTCAAAGGGGGACAGAGTGCTGATCTTGTTGACGCTGCAACCGAAAAATTAAAAGAATTCTTCAAGTTCAAGAAACTTTCTTTTGAAAAGGAGGAGACAGACGAGAAAGGCGCCACCGACTTAACTAACTGCCGTGAATCATGCTCGAATCGACACAAAAGATTCTCTGCGTACGGCAGCTGCGTGCGGTCATTAACTTGGCTTCGGATTCTTCGCAGAATTCCCCACAAACAACAGTTAAAGAAGACAAAGCTGCTGGCAGTCATTTATCAGCGTCTAGGTCAGGTTTGGAAAGGTTCCCCGCTTAGCACCTCGCCTCCTAAAAAAAGGCTAATTACTTTGAAACGCGTGCCTTGATCGGCTTACTGATACTAGAATAAACAAACATACGAAAAAGGTAACTAAAAATAATATTTTACATTTTATTTGCCCAAAACTAAGAGGCTAAACTTAGACGGAGACGTGGCTAAATGGCACACGAGTGCATTGCCTTTGAGAATGTCTGGTATCTGGAATTCCTAGCTCTGGCGACTTTACTATTAATAGTTTGGCAACTAAATCAGGCCAAGTATCGCCTTCTAAAATATGCATAATCAAATCGGAAAGTATCCGCAAGAGTCAAGGTTGTGGAGCACTTAAGTACTACTAAGTGGAAAAACCACTGATAGTGGAAAGAAAAGTGCTAGTGGCATGCAACTCAAATCAATATGCACATTCATAACCCAAGGAGGGGAAATAGAAATGGAAATGAGTAGAGGTATAACAAGAACCCAAGAACCCAACCCACTGGAAGCCTACGCCAACGCATTTTGCCTGAACCAAACTGAAGCAGTCTTGATTTATGGCCGATACTGCGTACTAGACACTCCTGGCCTAGCCTAACAACAACCCATCTCCAACTCCTGCCCACCCAGTTGAGACAGAAAGGTTTTCGTTGTTCAAACCTAAACAGAATAAAATAATGCAAACAGAGGAGCCCCCGTTAATAGCCGATGGGCTCGAGAAGTTATTGCCCTCGCTATATATCAATTCATTCAGGTTTGTATATAGGAAACGTGCTCCAGTATCTCGGAGCTGATAAAGCGCCGAGGAGCTCTAATTTCTCAATCGATTATGGCATAAGAATGATAATAAATTCAAAGTCTCTGAGTCCATGCTCCTTATTTCCTGCTTTAAAAATTCTATCGTGCTATTCCCACGACTCTCTGGCCCCCAAGTTCATTGCCAATTGCCGCAATCTGACTCCCTATAAGGCCGCCAACTCTGGTATCCACCTCCTCCTGTGGTGTGCATAATTAAACGACTTGTAGTTGTCAGCATATTGCCAGCAGATGACGGAGAAGTTTGGCGGGCCAATCGATTTCGGCGACCTTGGCAGTCAAAATGATTGTCGCCTTTTAAGGCAACACCACCAGCAGCACCAGCAGCAGCAACAGCAGCAGCTCATGCAAAAAACAATATCTCAGAAGCATGCAAGTACGAAACAAAGTACAAGCCAGAGACAGATACAAATGTATCTCGCACTGAGATACTCGACTGAGTACGAGTCATAGATATAGTATGCCCCCTACGCATGTGGCCTACGCAGCCTGGAATAGTACGCGACCAGTTGCTATTGCCAATTTTGGAGCTCCCACGACTTTTAGCTTATTTTCTATGGCTTTTTTCTTCACATTTGCGGCAAGCTTTCTGTTTGTGTTGCTGCCGCTGCTTTTTGCATTAATTACGCGCTTGAGCGTGCCAAAGTATTTCTCGTATTTCTGCTTGCCTAATGATGGGGCGATGACATCACTTGCAAGCGAGTATCGGCATATTAAAAAATATATATCTCTTTCTAGAGAACTAGAATCAATCAAAGTCGGGAAGTATGATCCTTATATGAGTTATATTTTGATTCCCAGACTTACCTCAGCGCCAAGACCTCCACTCCGCGCATTCGTTTGATGATGGACACATCGCTGAGATCACTTCCCCTAAAATAAACAGAAAAGACACGGGATTAATCCAAAAGATTCCAAATGTACAGTGGAGCCCTCCTTAAAGTCAACACTCGCTTTTATCTTAAGAGCTGTCGGCCAGGCAGCGCGAAAAGTAGCTCAAATGCTTTTAAAGTTTTTCCAAGCGTTTTCCTCGAGTGGCATGAGTTTTTCCAGCCCAGGAAATCGTGACTATCTCCAAAGTGGACACTTCTAAACTGGTTAGAAGATTGCCCCCCGGATTTGGGTCAAAGTGGGGACTGTGCCGCTGCCGGTTGGGTGAAAGCAGTCAGAGCAGGCCGAAGTGAACAGCAAAGTGGGCAGAGATATGCCCCAGACCCCACACCCCAGACATTCGATCTTAAAGATCCGAATACGAAGCTTTCACTGCGGCTGCACCTGACCCGGCACTATTACCAATAGATCGATGCAGAATGAAAAGTATCTTAGAGATAGATGTTAAAAATAAGATGTTTAAACTAGAGGGCAGGACAATAGATGGAACTAACGATAAGAAATCGATAAAGATTTCAAGAAACCATCAAAATAATCATTATAGGGCACTATTGGTTTTGAAAATCTTGGCTTTCAACTGGCCTAAAAGGCCATTTAGACCCCAAAATGAAAGTAGAAACTTACCAGCAATTAAGCTTCTTGATCAGGCCCAAATCGGACTGTTTGGCCCGTGCAATGACCATTTCCTCGGTCAAACGCGACATTCTGTGTGATGATGCTGACGATGGGCCAACTGGCGTTCAACTGGTGCTCCAACTGGTGAACTGACCCGTGGCCAGTGGGCAAATAAATGAAAACAAACACTGAATATACCAAACAGGTGTGCCACTTGCAGATTCCGGCTGCTGCCAACCACCAAAGCGGCTGCGTATCTAAGCCGCTTGCGAATGCCCAATTTTAGATGCCGAGAGGTGAGCAACCAAATTCGAAATTCGAAAAAAATAAAAATAAAAGCCAAACAGCATTAACAACAACAGGTTACGCTATCTAGGCAAAAGTGGCTGTAAGCGATTTGTTGCTGTAATCACTGGCGTGTCGTAGGCGTTGCCTTATTGTTGTTGCTCTTGTTGTTGTTGCAATTTTGTAATTACGTAGGCCTGCAAGTTAGAGAGTTCCTTTTTGATACATACACTTTTGTATCTGGCGGATACCTGGCACTGGCAATGGAACTCGCTCACAGTCTGGGCTTTGTATCTTGTATCTGCTGCAGCCAAAGCGAATCTCTCGCACGGATGACTAAGCAGCCACAGTGCCGCTCTCGGTTGTTGCGCTTATTTTTTTTGTTGTTTTTGTACGCTTTTACTATCAACGTAACTGGCCGTTTACTATCTATGTATCTGTGTATCTATATATCGCGGTCCAGTCCACCAAGATTGTTAATTGCAAAATGTGCAATCTCCAGCTCAGACGAAATGACGTGAAATCTTGCCTTCTTTTTTTTTGGCAAATTTCACATCATCGATTTTTTGCGCGCCCAGGTGTTTGTAAATGTACTGTTATTTCTCGCTTGTAGTGAGTGTTGTTTTGGCGTTTGTGTAAAGTTTTGATAAATTCAAAACATTCCTAGAGTTCGAGTTGACACCCGGAGCGAAGGGCACACTTTGTTCCACAACCGTTTCCGAACCGATTTTCCGATTTTCCTTGCACCGTTTTTCACCCTGCCTTGCAGGTATGTATTTCGAGGCGTGTGTATGAGTGGGAGCGTAAGTGTGGCAGAGCGAGACAGAGAAGGGCGCGTGTTTTACACAATACTCCGCTTTGAGCACACTATTATTAGTTTATTTAGTTATTTCACGTACATGCGCTCGGCTCGACGGTAAAAAACAATCTGAATCTGGCAGATACAAAGATAGGCAGATACTTTCGGAGAGCTTGTTCGCTTTCTTTGTTTACGAATGCGGTGTGGAGCGGAACGAGCGATAGTCTCGGAGAGAGCGCCAGCGTGGGAGGAAAACTGGTTTTCCAATAAAGGAATTTTATTCGATCGTTAACAAATAAAAAGCAAGGCAAGTTCTACTTAATTAATTCATATAAATCTTTAATTTTAACTACAAAAAAAAAATGAGTTTGATATAAAATTTAGAGTTATAAGTCCATCTCTAGTTGTGGGTGGCACCACCAGCCGGGTAGCGTTGCCGGAATTTCACTAAAAATTATATTCTTACTTTTTTTAAGCGTTCAAAATAAGGTCAAAATAAACAGAATGAGAAGAAAAGCTTATAAACAGAATGAGAAGAAAAGCTTATCGTCTTGGCCCCTTAAAAAATACAAAAAAATGTATTCACACTATTTTTAGATCTACCAAATATCTAAATTAAGTGTGTGTTACAAATAACTTAATAAAAATGTTTACAATTGTATGGTTTTTAAAAGCTTTAAAATTTTTAAATTTTATTTCGAATGTGTTCATTTTTAAATTTTGGGGGAAAACCTTGGTTTATTTTGATGGGGTTTCTGGCAACTCGGCCAATTTTAGAGGTGAAGACACATCGATAACAACCATCGAGGAATCGATGTTTTACCACCTCTACCGGATTTATTTATAAATTAATTCAATTCTCTCTATCTATATTCAGCTTTGTTCGTGTTGTTTTCGTGAAAATTCGCATCGCATCTTTCGAGCGGTCGTCGATCGCGGAAAACAAACGACGCGCCAGTTTATAATCGAGAACCGAGAGCTGAGCACGAGAGAGTGCGGAGAAAACAACAAACAACAAAAGCAACCTTGGGCGTGTATTAATTGAGCGTTCCTCTGCGACGCCCGCCCCCTCACCTCTCCTCACCATACCGCACACTCCCCTCGTCCCAAGCGGAGCTGTCGTCGTAGCCGATTTTGATTTGGATTACGGACACGGCTGTTTCTGTATTTCTGGTTTCTTCTCGGGGCCCCCGCTCTTGTGCTTGTTAAAGCAAACATCTGGCAAGATAAGGGCTACAGAAGCCCCCGTTCCCCAGTCTCCCGCCACCCGCCATCGCCAATATTCGTTGCAAAAACAGCGCTGAACGTAAGTTGGATTACGTCATCGTTGGGGGGCAATTTTAGACTCTGAATGTGCTATACATATATACATCACGCAGTTATAGTTTTGCTTCTGGACACAACAGACGCCCCCGCATCCGAACCCGAATCCGAATCTGAATCCAAATAGCCGCCAAGATGATTCATGTGGGCGAAAATACGTGGAACCTGCGGATTCTCATCACAGACCTACAGGTGGAAAAGACCTTGAGGGTGAAAGGTGACCAGCACATTGGTGGCGTCATGCTCCAACTGGTGGACCCTGAAATGCCCAAGGATTGGTCCGATCATGCTCTGTGGTGGCCAGCCAAGAACGTCTGGCTGACCAGGACACGCTCCACTCTCGATCAGGCTGGCGTGCAGTCGGACTCCTTTCTCCACTTCACACCCATGCACAAGACGCTGCGAGTGCAGCTGCCCGACTTGAGGTATCTGGATTACCGCGTCAACTTCTCTGCCAAAACTTTCGGAGCCGTTGTGAGCCTTTGCAAGGACCTGGACATTCGCTATCCGGAGGAACTGTCGCTGTGCAAGCCTGTGGAGCCGGAACATCTGAAGAAGAACTTTTCGAAGCTGCCACAGCGGAAGATTCCGGTGGCGGAGGCCAATGGCATCTCGTATTTGCAACCAGCTCCAGACACGAACTCCTTCGTGCCAATCACAGGAGCCTACAACGGTAGCAATGGCAGCTTGGATCGCTCGCACAACGGCAACGTACTTTATGCGCCAGCATCGCCCTATGCCACCACTCCACGGAGGGCAGCTACTGCTCCGGGTACACCTATTAGCTCGCCAACAGGCACCTGGAAGGCCAACTCCACCGGCTACACCAGTTACGATTCCAACTCGAGTTTCGGTGACTTTCAGGAGAATCTGGCCGTGTCGCCAAGGTCACCCAGTCCCGATGTGAGGTCGCGGTTGGTGCGCCCGAAGACTCTCGTGGAGAAAGCCCGGTTGAACGTTGGATGGCTGGATTCGTCGCTTTCCATTATGGAGCAGGGAGTGCGGGAGTTCGACACTTTGTGCCTGCGCTTCAAGTACTTTACTTTCTTCGACTTGAATCCCAAGTACGACCAAGTGAGGATCAACCAGCTGTACGAGCAGGCCAAGTGGAGCATTCTTAACGAGGAACTGGATGCCACCGAGGAGGAGACCCTCATGTTTGCCGCCCTGCAGTTCCAGGTCAATCACCAAACGGATTTGCATCCGCCCGGCATCGATTCAGGAATTGATTCCTCCAGCCAGGAGAATGGCGGCGACGACGACATCGACTCTGCTCTCAACGAGCTGCAAATTACCTTGGAGGGACCCGGTGGAGGCAAGGATCAGGGAAACATCACACGGATACCAGAGCTTTCGGACTATCTGAGATTCCTCAAGCCTCAAAGGTTCACGCTAAAGGGATACAAGCGGTACTTCTTCGCCTACAGGGATCTGCATCTGCACTTGTACAAATCGCAGGAGGAGTCCAGGAGAGGAGCGCCGACCATTAGCATCAACCTGAGGGGATGCGAGGTCACCCCCGACGTTACTTTGGCGCAAGGAAAGTTTGCTATTCGCTTGGAAGTTCCTCCAGAGGGCAGAAACGGCCCCAACTCCGAGGTCTGGGTGAGGTGTGAGAACGAGGAGCAGTACGCAAAGTGGATGGCCGCCTGCCGGCTGGCAGCCAAGGGTCGCTCCTTGGCCGATAGCTCGTACGACAGCGAAGTGAATAGCATTCGCTCCCTGCTCCAGATGCAGAAGCCCGCCCAAGGGGCCCCATTGACCATTAATCCCAGGAGCGTGGATCCCATGGACTACCTTTCGCAGAAAATGCTACGCAAGCTCTCCAGCAAGGCGGTGCAGCGCATCTTGGAAGCCCATGCCAACGTTCGGCAGCTACCCTTGATGGAGGCCAAACTGAAGTACATCCAGGCCTGGCAATCCCTGCCAGACTTTGGAGTGTCTCTTTTCGTCATCAAGTTTGACGGCCACAAGAAGGAAGAGCTCCTGGGCGTGGCCCACAACAGGATCATGCGAATGGACCTGAGCTCTGGCGACCACATCAAGACGTGGCGCTACAACACCATGAAGGCGTGGAACGTCAACTGGGGCATCAAGTGCATGATGATCCAGTTCGCGGACGAAAACGTGGTCTTCTCCTGCCTGTCGGCGGATTGCAAAGTAGTCCACGAGTTCATCGGCGGCTACATCTTCATGTCGATGCGTTCCAAGGAGAACAACCAGACGCTGAACGAGGAGATGTTCCACAAGCTGACGGGCGGCTGGTCATAAGAGCATTCCTCTGTGGGAGCAATGTAGTGGAGTGGAGTCTTACGAGTGCCAAGCACAAACCTCGTGTCGCATGTTCTACAATTTTATCTATATGTACCCAAAGTGGGGTGGGCTGATTTATGGGTCGGAGGGTAATCTACGGACAATTCCAAGTAATTTTGCCTTGGAAACTATTTACTTAACATCAAGGATGGCTTCTCCATGTTCTCTTCTAAAAGCTTACTTATGTAACAAAAAATACCAACTTTTTTTTTAACACCCTAGGGAAAAAGTGAATAATATTTGTGTATCTTTTTATTAATTCTATATTTTTAAATTTTATTCGGCATTTATACTATATAATTTCATGTTTATAAGCACAGCTAATACAAGTGTTAAATGTATATATTTATAAAATGAAACAATTTAACAAAAGAATACCAATTTCTTTAAGAAAAACATTTCCTCCACGAGTTACAAGAGAGGAATTTAGGAAACTGATAGAAAACCTGTAGTGGCCTAAAATTGTTCATAGATTACCTTCCGGTCCTACGATTCCTTATCAACCAATATGACCGACCCACCCTAACCGAACGCGTTGTGTGTGTGTATAAGTGTTGATGGATGTAGAATTCTAGACTAATAACGATCACCAAGCTGATAACGACAATGATGATAACGATGTTGTGCCTTTGCCGGAGCAATCTTAACCCAAAACGAGTCCAACAAGTCAATGTCCTGTGTGTTCTGAGTGTCTTTCTGTGTTGTTTGTTTTTCTAACACAGCGTTAAAGTTACACTACTTAAGTCCTTTTATAAACCACATTTGTGCGGACTGGCGCAACTAACCCGCAGTTTTATATATTGTATATTTATTAAACAAATTAATAAGCAGAATAAATTATTTTATATGTTTTTAATGATCGTACACATTGCCCTGTGTTTGCATTTTTTATGGCGGCAGCTGAACATCGAAGCACCCCCAGGGATTACTCATCCAATTGAGGAATATTGTCGAGGGCTATAGAGGGGCGTTGATGCAACTGTCGGCCGTTTAATATAAAGCACGGCTATTGTTATTAATAGCATAACAGCGCATTCAATTGAATTGATAAGCCGAGGAGACTCGCTCGCTGCGCTGCCTTATATGGACGCCAGATTACGAACTCCAAGGGCCAAAGCTTTGATTGATGACGGCTTGGAAGCTATGCTGCCGCCGCCTCGGAATCTCAATGGTGCAACTTCTCACACGCCCGGCCAGCCTAGAAATTTATTTAATTAAAGGGGTGCCACTTAAGAAAATTCCAGATAAATTTGTACAAATAAGTCAGTAAGCTGGCTTTGGATTCGTTCAACTTTCTTATATCCGGCAATGCTATATCTTCGCCAATTTTTATCCGATTCCCAAGAGGGATACCTTTTCCGATTCGTGGATCGATTCTCTATTATTCTGCATCAAAACCTAAAAACAAATTTTTGGATCCGATTTTTGTAAATTTTTCTGATGGTACCTTTCAAAAATGGGGAAAACGTGGAGCATGAAAAAAGGGCCACTTGGGATGACCATATCTTTGCCAATATTCATCTGATTCCCAAAAGGGATACCTTTTACGAATTGTGGAACGATTCTCTATTATTCTGCATCAAAACCTAAAAACAAATTTTTAGATCCGATTTTTGTAAATTTTTCTGATGGTACCCCTGTCGAAAATGGGGAAATCGTGGAGCACGGAAATAGGGCACTTGGGATGAACATATCTTTGCCAATATTCATCCGATTTCCAAAAGGGATACCTTTTACGAATCGTGGAACGATTCTCTATTATTCTGCATCAAAACCTAAAAACAAATTTTTAGATCCGATTTTTGTAAATTTTTCTGATGGTACCCCTGTCGAAAATGGGGAAATCGTGGAGCATGAAAAAGGGGCCACTTGGGATGACTATATCTTTGCCAATATTCATCCGATTTCCAAAAGGGATACCTTTTACGAATCGTGGAACGATTCTCTATTATTCTGCATCAAAACCTAAAAACAAATTTTTAGATCCGATTTTTGTAAATTTTTCTGATGGTACCCCTGTCGAAAATGGGGAAAACGTGGAGCATGAAAGAAGGGTACCTTGCGATGGCCATATCTTTACCAATATTCATCCGATCCCCAAAAGGGATACCTCTGACGAATCGTGGAATGATTCTTTATATTATAAGTTCATAAACTTGGCTTGTATTTAAAAAAGAATCTTTAAAAATCTTGAATAATGAGCCTCATTATGGCCCCTTCCAATGTGCCTATTATCATCCTATTCTCAGTAGCAACTAAATTAAATTACTTTTATATTGATTTTCTTTAAACGTCCCTTGTTGTCAACCAAATTATTCGGTTTTAGAGGTTTTTGGCATTTGGGAATCCCCTTATTGGAATATATTCAAACTTCCCGCCGAGTTATTGTTGGGACTGCCAACTCGCTAAAATACCAACAAACCAGCAAACAGAAATCGAGTTGCAGTGTTTGTCCATTGATGCTGAGGCGCTTTCTTTTTCGTTTCGTCTTTCTTTAATTTTTTGAGAGTGAAATCAGTCGCTCCAAATTGGCCCGGATACGGATCCGGAAGCATTGCGGCCCAGGCAGCGCATCCGAGGTGGAAAAACCGCCCGAGGATTGCATCACAGTTCGGGAAATAGTCATTGAACGACCATCTGTTGAAGAAGTGGTCCGATTTCCCACGAATATCTCATAATCGTGGGCGCCCCCACCAAGGACGACCTAGAAACGCCCAGGCAGACCCCAAAATTGAGCACAAGTGACATCATCCAGTTGGAGCACACATCCGAGCACCATGATTCACGTCGGGGAGAACTCCTGGAACCTCCGGATCTTCATCACGGATCTGGCGCTGGAGAAGACCCTGCGAGTACGGGGCGACCAACACATTGGAGGCATCATGTTGCAGCTGGTGGATCCGGAAAACCCAAAGGACTGGTCCGATCATGCTCTATGGTGGCCAGCCAAGAATGTGTGGCTTTCCAGGACTAGGTTGACCCTGGATCAGTGTGGAGTTCAGGCGGATAGCTTGCTCCATTTCACTCCTATGCACAAAATACTCCGTGTCCAGCTTCCTGATTTGAGATATCTCGATTGCCGTGTGGATTACTCGACCAAGACCTTTGGAGCAGTGGTGAATCTCTGCAAGCAGCTAGACATCCGTTATCCGGAGGAGTTATCCCTTTGCAAGCCCCTGGAAGCCGAGCACCTGAAGCGCAACTTTGCACAGGTGCCGCACCAGAAGCGAGTGCCCATTGTCGAACCGGATGGGACTACCTATCTGCAGCCGGCAGCGGATACGAATTCCTTCGTGCCCATAAATGCCTCTTTCCATGGAGATGGAGGTAGCACTGGCAGCCTGGACAAGCCGTCAGCTCCTGGATCCTTCTTCTGCGCGCCGCTATCACCCCACAACCACAGGGGCAGATCACCGATGGCTTCACCAGTGCCAGGAACCTGGAAGCAGAGCCAGATAGGCTATGCCACCTACGATTCGTCCTCCTCCAGTTTGGGCGATTTCCAGGAGAACCTAGCTAGTTCACCCCCCACTCCGTGCTCGGATGTTCGTGCCCGGCAGCTGCGTCCCAAATCGCTGGTGGAGAAGGCTCGTTTGAATGTGGGTTGGCTAGATTCCTCCCTGTCGATTATGGAGCAAGGCATCCGGGAGTATGACACCCTGTGTTTGCGTTTCAAGTACTTCACCTTCTTCGATTTGAATCCCAAGTACGACCAAGTGCGGATCAACCAACTGTACGAGCAGGCCAAGTGGACTATTTTGAATGAAGAACTGGATGCCACCGAGGAGGAGACCCTCATGTTTGCCGCCCTCCAGTTCCAGATTAACCATCAAACCGATTTGCAGCCGCAAGGAATCGATTCGGGGATCGACACCTCCAGCCAAGAGAACGGTGGCGATGATGAAATCGACTCGGCCCTTAACGAGCTTCAAATCACCCTCGAAGGTCCGAATGGCGGCGATCCGGCAAACATCACCCGGATTCCGGAACTCTCGGATTATCTGAGATTCCTGAAGCCCCAAAGATTCACGCTGAGAGGGTATAAGCGGTACTACTTCACCTACCGGGATTTGCATCTGTATCTGTTCAAGAGCGCCGAGGAATCGCGTCGAGTGCCTCCCGCAATCAGCATTAACCTGAAGGGCTGTGAGGTCACCCCGGACGTGAATTTGTCTCAGGGCAAGTATGCCATTCGTCTGGAGGTTCCGCCGGAAAGTGGAAACGGGCCGAACAGCGAGGTGTGGGTGAGGTGTGAAAACGAGCAGCAGTACGCCAAGTGGATGGCTGCCTGTCGCCTGGCGGCCAAAGGAAGATCCCTGGCAGATTATACCTACGAAAGTGAAGTCGATGGCATTCTCTCCTTGCTGCAGATGCAGAGGCCAGTGCATGGAATTCATGTTAACATCGATCCGCGTTCAGTAGAGGCTGCGGATTACCTTTCGCCCAAAATACTCCGGAAGCTGTCCAACAAGGCGGTTCAAAGGATTCTCGAGGCGCACTCCAACGTTAGGGAGCTGAATGCGATGGAGTCAAAGCTGAAATACATCCAGGCCTGGCAATCCCTTCCCGACTTTGGCGTTACCTTGTTCATCATTAAGTTCGATGGGCACCGGAAGGAGGAGCTGCTGGGTGTGGCCCATAACAGGATCATGCGGATGGACCTCAGCTCTGGAGATCACATCAAGACCTGGCGATACAACACCATGAAGGCTTGGAACGTAAACTGGAATATTAAATGCATGATGATCCAGTTTCAGGACGAGAATGTGGTCTTCTCCTGCCATTCGGCCGATTGCAAAGTAGTCCACGAGTTCATCGGTGGCTACATCTTCATGTCGATGCGGTCCAAGGACAACAACCAGACCCTTAACGAGGAGCTCTTCCACAAGCTAACGGGCGGCTGGTCCTAGGAATCACAATACTTCAATTTATTCAATACCCCAATTGTTCGAATTTTTTAGAGGAAAACAACTGTTTTTCATTGTTGACCAATAACCTACTGATAGACTCACCAACTTCAATGCAATACTTATTATATTTACCACTTAATTCGTTGTAAACTAATCTTGTTGATGAATTTTAACCGCGGAATCGCTTGCCAAGCGGGCCCTCTTGCCTGCCCATGTAACTTTAAAACAGACTTAACCGTGGCCTTAGCAATGTTTTTGTATGACTAACTTTTAAGTATACCATAAATAAATAAAATATATCCTATTTAAAATGTTGTCTATTTATTGTTTTGTTTTATTTTTTTAGATTCATGTTTTAGTTTGAAGCTAATATTAGCTTGCTAATGCAAGCTAATATTTAAATTTCGGCGCCAGACAAGAGTTGCCACCTTGATTTTGGATTCAAACCGATATTTTCCCTCCTATCGGCTCTAAGCTTTTCAATCTTTCAATATTGGCGCCAGCTTTGTTAGAATGTTGTCATGGCAATGTCACATTTACCTCTACCTGGACTAAATTAGGTGTGTAACTAAATGTTTCCAAAAATCTTCGTCGTTCTTGTATAATAGGTCCTAAAATAAAACCAAAAAAAAAAACTTTAAAATCAAATGTCACGAACAGCCTACGAAGTGCAGAGGGATTTTGGTCTGAGCAGCGGTCTGCGCTCTGAAATCATCTGGGATTCGTGAGTTTCCATTATAAATACTTTCCCTTATTAAATTATTCATTAACCTATACATTATAGTCTGGCTGCTGATCAAGCGGATGTTTTAAAACAAAAGATTGAGCAGCTTATATGCGGAGATGACTCAAGAAAACCAAACTCCTTGAAGCGTCAGCGACAACTACTTTTCCAGAATGTGTGGCAGCAAAGACGCTACACAAATGGAACCCTACTCTCCGCCATTATCTATGTCCTAGTCACGGCGGAAACCGATCCGGAACTGGCTTTACAATCCACAGATTACACCTGTCACCCGGTTTTCCGAACTCGCCGCTGCATGAAGGGCGGAAACAGCGAATCCTGTTGCATGATTTTTGTGGATGAGCACGGTCGCGTTTACTCCAACTGGCAGCAGTATGTCCTACGGAACACCTTGGCCAACGGCATGATGATTGCTCCCAGTCAGGGTATCTACACATTCACCGATGAAACCGATCCTGGAGTTCATCTGATGGTCCATCCTACCCCCGCATCTCAAGGTCGTTATCGGTTACTCAGTGTGGGCGACAAAGTGGCCACAGTTGGGGGCTTGGTAGCCACGGTTCCCGTAGCTGCAGCCTTGGCAGTTCCAGTGGCAGGTCCTCTTATAATTGCCGGCACAGTTGTGGGTGTGGCTACGGCTGCCTATAGTACCCTGCGCTCTGCAACTAACCTATTTGACCGGAGGCGTCATGGGCAAAGCACATGCATTACGGACAGCGAGGCCAGGAGTTCTTGGTTGGGCGTGGCCGGAGGCGTGGTAGGTCTAGGCGCCACCGGAGCCACCAAAGCTTTAGGCGTCGTGGCTGGAGCGGGATATAACGTCAATCCAGCTGCTCAGTTGGCCGTGAAGGGCATCAATGTGGGTTCGGTAGTGATTTCCGGAACAGGTGTGGTCAACGGTGTATACGATTTGTATTGTGTATGTGTGGTATACTCTGATAATCAATAAGTTTTCACTAATACTATTCTATACCTTTTAGAAAATTGGAGACGACCAGGCATTGAGCAGCTTGGATGTGCTGCAGATGGCTTCGCACTTGGTTATCTTCACCCACTCTATCAACAATCTTCGTTTGGCTTCCAAGGTAACCAATGGATCTTCCTTAAGACGAGTTCTTCGTAATCAATCTAGGTGATTTTTATGGATTATATTCATCCTATTGGAATTATTAGAACTTTTATGTACATTTTATAGAAAAGTCTTCGATAGAATTTCCCAAGAGTCCACCAAACTCCATAGCGATATGGGAAAGTTCGATATTGTTCGAACTCTGAATGATATTCCCTTCAAGGAGGCTCTTCTTAGCCTCCATGACATTAATTCCAATCTGTACCAAGGCGTGTCAGCTATGACCACAATCCTGCCCCAAATATTGAGCGTAGGTAGTGCTGGCCAGTTACTCATTAACCTGGACACATTGGCTCAAAAGTTCGGTGAAAAGTTTGTCCAGCACATTGGAAACGTGGCCAGTTTCGCGGACGTTTTGGAGGCCATGGCCAGGTACTTTACCGATCGTGCCGTACAGCTATTAATGGGAATAACCCGCAACTTTATGGAGCAAAATATAGACTCCATTGATCGAAATTTGAATACTTTTGTGTCCACGGAGACGGTCTTATATCGTATTCTGATGCACTGCGTCACCACCTTTGACAATTTTGCAGACGATTTCCTTCACAGTCGTCAGGAGGATATTTTAAAAATGGTCACGAAATATTTTAAATCCTTGGAGCCTATAAACGAATCGAATTGCCGCAAGTACCAGTGTTCTGTCTGCAAGGGTGCATACTATATCACTTCCATATGATCCTCAAAAGGATATAAAGAGAGGGGTCTTTAGCCAAAACTGCAGTAGAACTGCTTACTTTTTAGATGCTATTTTGATTACTTCTGTCTTCAGTCTAAGAGTCTTACGAATCCCCATTTTTTTTTAATAGAACTTAGTTCAAAATTAGACTTTTTTTTAAAGATAATCTTCACTAAGTCACCTAATTTAAGCTAAGAAAACCATTTAAATATTTTATGTTTAGGATACTATGTACCCTCCGAGCTGAATGTGCTGTGAGATTCTCCGAATTATGTATAACTTGATTTTATTATAAAAAATATTTAGGCTATTAAAAAATATATTTATATCTAAAATTGAATATTTGTCTTGTAATCTTAAAGGTAAAATGTGGTAAGACTAAGCATTTAAATACTGTGTTTAGATTTTGTCCCTCGCAGGGGGATAAAATAAGGTACCGGACTCTATAAGAGTGAGCGCGACTTCTGGTGGATGGAATAAACTAATCTAACCTAAGGACGGAGTCAGACCGGATGGCATTGACATGGAGACTTGGAGACTCTAGCAGAAGAACTCCTCCTCGCACTGGTTGAAGCAGCAGTAGGGTATGTTGTTGTAACTGTTGCTGGCATGGTCGCGCTTGAAACGCTGCTTCTTGTCGTGGTGTATCTTCCGGGACTTGTAACGCGGAAAGACGTCCAGTTCGCTAAGCCGGTTAAAGTGCTCCTGATTGACCTTCAGGTAGCCACCCGGCGGATAGATACTCCGGCTGATGTAATGATGTTTGTCGTGAAGCTTGCCATCTGGTGGAAAAAGGTGGAAACGGAAAGAAAACATGAGTTGAGAGCCAGCTAATCGATTGATCTTGAACCTGTGCCTTGAAAACGGTTAACTGTTGCATCGGAACTGCTTTATGCAAATGATGCACCGGGTAATGTGTTTATTAATTACTTGTCTACACGCTGGGAACGTGTTTTCGGTGCTGCATTTCAGTTCCGAATGCAATTGTCGAGTTGACTGACACTCTGACCTCAATCAATTGCTAATCTTATTCACAGACTAATTTAAATTTTTTGAATTTCCCTAGAGTGCTATTAAAAGGTAGAAAATACTTACATCCCAGCCGATTTAAGTGATGGTGTGGATAGTCGATGGATCGCCTATCTCTCCGGGCGGCTTCGTCCTGCATGAATAAGTGCTCGCACGCCTCCATCGCATACTTCTTCATCCGCTCCAGGGAGCAATAGCTGCCTGTGGAACTGTCCAGCAGGCAACAAACTCCCAGGGCAAGCAGCATCCAGCGGCACACATTGAACTGCAAGGAAAGATTACCAAAAAAAAAAACAACAAATATGAGTATTTGTTTGGATTTAAAATTAAACTCCCCAAGCCGGCCTCCAAAGCCTAATTATAAATCGCTGACGCTCAGAATTTATTACATAAGTGTTACAACGTTCCTCTAACCGGCAGCACTCTTCTCTGCCACTGCATCCGAATCCCTGTAGGGCTCGGCCCGAATCTGGATTAACCACTTTGACTGACGACAGCCGGAATGTCGGGATGACGTCGTCGAGTCCGGTGCACCGGCTTAGGCGGCCAATAAACTGGGTCAAAAGCCCGGCGCCACCTTAAGCCGCCGCGAAACATAAACTGGAGCGCATTTGCAAGTCGACGCGGCCAAATGGTAAAAATTTATTGCGAATTTTAATGACCGAAACTTCCCCGAAATTACAAAGAGCAGGAGCTGGCGGCCGGAGGACGGAGTGGAAATTATGTAATGCGCCTGGGCAGGTAGGCATTTCCGCATTTTTTTTTCATTTTGCGGTGACAATTTGTTTAGCACACGGAATCATCTGGTGTATTATGCTTTAGCCAGTGGAGAACAAAAGCGAATTTCTTTATTTTGATATTTTTAACACCTTCTGTTAATTGTACACACCCACTTTTATTCTTAATATTATTGATGAACAACAATAAATATTATTTTATTTTTAGTTTTTCATTGAATGGAAACCTTTAAAGTATTTTAACTAAAAACCAATAAAAACTAAACCCTAATTCACAATTTTAATTCATAACTCACCTTTGAATTCATTTTTATTCCTTTCTAAAGATCACTATTTAAGATCTCTATGACTCTGCAACTGTATACCACACGACGTATACGTATTTTTGGCGGGCAAATTAAAAAACGAGACCGAATACACGAAAACGAAAACTTGAGCTCCGATCCTAAGTGAACCCGATAAACATGAGTGACTGGCGAACAATGAAGCTCACCCGAAGCTTTTATACGCGGCATGCAAATCGAGGATCGGTTCAGGTTGACTCGGCTTTCCCAGGTTCTCGACGGCGCTCGTAACTTTTTTTATTTGGCAACCGATTTGCCGCTTTGGGGGTGATGAGAGCGGATACCAGCGGATACCGCTTTCAAGAGCGAGGCTCGGGCTCTGATCATGCGCACATCGGACTCGGATGGCGGTGGTTCGCAGGATGGTTTTGCGTAAGCGGCAAGGCGCGCCTCTCCAATGATCCAAAAATTATTATTATTATTTTTTTTTTTATCAATGGATTGCAATGGACGGACGTCAGACGCTCTTAGGCGACGGAGGAGTTGGCTTTTATAGTTATGTGGCGCCGCCTTCAAATCTTAGCCACCATGAATTTCAACATAATTGTCATGGTTTCGGTGTGCTGAGTCACAGCATCGTCACATGCTGTTGGTCGCTAATTTTGATAAAGAAATGGTCAATAGTTTTCGGTCTTATCGATTTGAAAACCTTGAAAATGTAATAAGGTAGTAATTGTTTTCAGGGTTAGCGCTTAGGGGAAGTAGTGAAAGTTAAAGCCTTGTTTTCGGGGAATTTTCCAACCAGGGCAATGCACCTACTGATAGTACGACACGTTTTCAACTTATCGGACGGCATAGTTTATATTTTTTTGATTCATAAAAAATAGTTCACTAGAAGTTTTAGTATTTGTTGATAGGTTTTATGGCCATAGATAAAGGTCATAAACATTTTATTAACCTCATAAAATAACATCTGCAATTACTTAACATTGTTTATAAGGAAGATATTCACATAGTTAAAAATGTGGGAGTTTTTTAATGAATTATTAAACATATAATTATAATTAAACAGTAATTATTTATAGTTTTTTAGTTTAAAAATTCTATCCTTGATGAAATTATATAGATTTATCTGGAAACCTTAAGATTCTAGCCACAAAATATCCTGAAATAAACTTCAAAATCTGAAATAATAGCTCATGTTTCTAGATTTCATTCAGAAAAGAGCGAGTAGAAGAAAAGAGCTTTACGAACTTTCGCTTTCACTTTCTTAGAGGCTGGCTCTCTTTCTCTTTGAAGCTTTCTCTGTTGCAGCATCATTGACGTGATCGCATCAATGTCAAGTTACCGCTAACGGTTGTTCTGGTTATCCGAAGGAACGTCATCGCCGTTTATTCTTATTTTGGGACCTTGCATCCGAATCGGTTCGTTGGGTTATGTTCTTTTCGTATTTTTAGAAACTCTCTCGGTCAATGCACACTTTCGGCCGAGTTTTTTATTGGCTCGCATTTAGCTTCGTTTCGGTCGGCTCTGTTTGTTTTTGTTTTTTTCGATTTCTGTTTCTGTTTGACTTTCGTTTTCCACTGCATTTCCGCATGCGACCGGCGGCCTGCGGCCTGGGGACGGCGGCCTGTGGGGCGTATGCGTAATATTTGCGGCGCAGTTACTTGTTGATCGATTTTCTCACGTATCCTGCGGAATGTGCATTCAGTGCCGCGCTTTTCGATCTAACGGTACTATCACGTTTCGAAGAATCTTCACGTTTCCATGGAATGTGATCGAATTCTTTGACCAGCACGGAATGTGGCCCTTAATTAGTTGGCGTTTCGCATCTCCACGAGCTCCATTCATAAATCCAATTTCACAACCTGATTTAAGAATCTCGCCACTTGCGCCATGTCAACGATCTCCACAGATCCGATCAGTGATGCCCCTACCTGGGCATCAAATTCACAACTCATTATGTGCCAAAAAAAAAAAAACAAAAAAGACCAAAGCAAGAACAACAAAACATACAAGAGCATAAACCACAAACAGGTTCTGCTTCTAATAGAAGCGATCTGATATTCGTGCAGTCTAGACGAGCATGGGTCCTTTCCTTGGCAACAAGAAAAGAACAGGGAATGTCGCTCCGTCTTCCCAGAAGAAGACGTTAGCCGAGGATATCAGGGGGGATGTCACAAGGGGGGACAGGACATGCAGCATAGGACCATGGACCATGGACAACAGACACCGGAGGACCGCTGTTTTTGTTTTGATCTGAGACCCGAAATCGCCTGTTCCTTGAACCGAGGGCGAAAGTGGTGCGTCACGTCAGCTCCGGTGTCTGACTTTGCCGGCGGCTTTGTCGTTCACCTTTTCCATCCTCCGAGTCCTCCTTGCAGTTTTTTTTTTGGCTCCTTTCCACCGGTATGCCGGTCCGAAGGGTTCTTTGAGTTCAAAAAACTCTGCAATTCCTTTGCCGCGATCGCATTTCAAATTAGAAACTTTTTGGAAGGTCCACGGAACAAATGACCAGTAAATGCTCTTATATTTCACAAGAATACATTTTAGGGGAACCAAATTGTAATTTGATGGAAGGAAATTAGATGTTAAACAAGCTATTAGCAGTAAAGTATTAAGGCTTTAAAAATATTTCAATAAATGCAAGACTTCGTCATTGAAATGTTATATAAAATCTAAAAAAAGCTAGTGAGTTTGAATTTCTATTTTAAGACCTTTGACCGCTTCGGGGAAAAAAAGAAGCTGTGTTTAGGCACACGTAGTTAAACGTCTTTGAGAGTCACTGACTCATGGTAGTAATCAGATTATTTGGTCATGACTAATAGCCAAATTAACAGCATAGCAACATAAATCACGATTTCTTCGGTTTCGGTTTCACAGTTTACGACAGTTTTAAAGAAATGGACTGGGGAACCCGGTTGGGGGTTTAATAAAAATGTGGGAGGTTTTTAATGAATTATTTCTGGTTTTATTTAATAAAAATATGTTATATTTTCCACTTAAAAAGTTATTATTTCAGCAACAGTATATTAATATATATTATTATACACTGACTTTCAAGACTAAGATTGGGTCTTTTTTAATAACGGTTTCTAATAACAAATTAAAATCTAAAAAAGTAGATTATCTTTTTAAAAATCTTTAAAAAAAAATTATCAATTTACAAAAGTTTAAAAAAAAACTGAAAAATTCAAACAAAAATCGATAAATATCGATGCATTTTAGGTCCCTTGGAGTAGCACCTCTAATCAGCTGTTTTAAGCAGCCGGGTTTTTATCGCCTCCGTAATCCTCATAAAAATTACCATGTTGGGCAGGCTCTTACGAAAACCACGGATCTCCGGGAGCTTGAGCTGGTCCCGCTGGAGCAGTGATGCTGCCAAGGCCACTACAGAAGCAGCTCCGTTTGGGGAGAATCCGGAAAAGCGACAGCAGTTGCTGAACGAACTGGCCGAACCGTTGGATCAGAAAACCCGGCCCGCCATCGACCCCAAGGAAACCACTATAATGTTATTTCCCGGCCAAGGTACCCAGTATGTCGGCATGGGCAAGGAGTTGCTTCGGTTTCCTGGAGCAAGGCGCATCTTTGAGATGGCCAACGATGTGCTCAGATATGATCTCCTCAAGATTTGTCTGGAGGGACCACGTGAGAAACTTAACCGCACGGAGCACGCCCAGCTTGCCGTGATGGTTTCATCACTGGCTGCCTTAGAGCAGCTGAGGGAGGAGCGACCCAATGCCATTGAGACCTGTGTAGCTGCGGCCGGATTTAGTCTGGGCGAGATCACTGCTCTGGTTTATGCGGATGCCATTCCTTTTGATAAGGCCCTGCGGCTAGTCCAGGTTCGGGCCAACGCCATGCAGGCTGCCTGCGATCGAGCGGCTGGAGCCATGTCCATGGCCATTTACGGTCCTGATACGAATCTGGGCGAAGCCTGTAGTCGAGCGCAGCAGTGGTGTCTGGATAAGGGAGTGGAGTCCCCATACTGCGGCATTGCCAACTACATGTACCCGCACTGCAAGGTGATAGCCGGAAACGTAGAAGCCATTGAGTTCCTCGAGAAAAATGCCAAAGCCTTGAAAATCCGGAAGATGAAGAGACTGGCAGTCAGTGGCGCCTTCCACACTCCCCTAATGGAAAGTGCTGTGGCGCCCTTCAAGAAAGCCTTGGATTCTGTTCACATCCGAGATCCCGTCATCAGGGTTTACTCGAATGTAGATGGCAAACGCTACAGACACGCCAAGCACATTTCCCAGCAGCTTCCCAAGCAAATAGTGCGTCCGGTCAAGTGGGAACAGACCCTCCACGAAATGTACGAAAGGAAACAGGGAGTAGAATTCCCCCGGACCTTCGAATGCGGTCCGGGAAAAGGACTCATCCAGGTCCTGGAGAAAGTGAATGCAAAGGCCTCCCAAACGAGTTTCAATGTTACAGCTTAGGATTTAAATAAAAAAAATTAATAAAACCTGCTAATTCTTTTTGTAAAATTTATTTTCAGGGCTAGCGGAAACAATAAAAAAAAAACATTGGTTATGTCACAATTAGAATCCTAACTTTTGTCGTCCCTTGCCCGCATGCGGTGGGCAAATGCAGCGCCCTTGTTTTTGCGGAAGCTCTCGAAGGGATCGTTCATGTTGATGCCCACGCCCTGCAAGGCAGATCTTGAATTTTGGAATTGTTTCTTGCTGTTTTGGCTCTCGGGAGTTCATACCTTGTACATGTCGCGACGATCACGCACCTCTCCGCCCGCAATGGGCTTATCAATGCCCTGACTCTTTGATCCCAGTCCAGTTCCAGTACCGGCCCAACCCATTTTTTTGAGCATTTGATGGCCCTTGTTGGACTCATCAAGGAATTCAGGTAATTTGGGGATACCTCCTCCCCTGTAATTAAGAAGAAGACCGTTAAACGGGAATAGAAAGGGGGGGTTTGTTTTCATAAATTATTTACAAAAAGCTCGGAGGCGTTGGAGATCTGTCGCGCTCCACTCGTCTTGAGGTATTGTTTCCATTGTTGTTGCTGCTGTTATTGGTTCTCTCGGCACGATTCTCCTGGTTGCTGTTGGCGTTGGCATTGCTGTTATCCTTTTCATTGCGAGGCGATCGGTTTGTGGTTTTCCGATGGCTGCCACCGCCGCCAACAGGCCTATTTCGTGGCGTCGGTGGTGGAGGTGTTAAGGAGCGTTCCAGAGAACGAGACCGCGATCTGGAGCGGGAACGCGATCGGTCGCGATGTGGCGGTGTTTTGGAACGGGAACGACTTCGACTCTTGGATCTAATGATTGATAGATAAGTATGGTTTCTAATAGCAAGTGAAATGTTATGAAAACTCACCGATAGCATCGCTTCTTGGGCTTTTTGGGTTCTATTTTCTCGAGGACTATGGGGCTGGGGGATCGCGACTTTTCCCTTGTGCCACTTTTTATTTCCTCCTCCTTTTGTTTGCGGGCCGCATTCTTCACCTTGTAGTACTCATAGAGACCCAACTTCTCCCAACCCTCACTAAATGCAGAAAACCCTAGATTAGTTCCAATTAAAGATAGTTTCAGGTACTTACTTATCCCTAGGATGGTCATGGGCGGGTGCGGCGTAAAAGGCATTCAATGCATTGGTCAAGCGCTCATTTTGCGGCGCCGGCGGTGGCAGTCTTATGTCGGCAGGATCTAGTGCTTTGTAATTGTAATCTTCCAGCCGGATAAGTGGCACCATCAGGCCCGCTGGCAAGTCGTAGTAAGGCGCTGTAGGTATCTGTGGCTCTCCAATCGGGACAGGATCTGCTCCACCTTCATCTCCCTTGTCCGGCTGGTGGCCATCTTCCATTTTGTGTTGTTGACCTGGATCACCAGTGTTATTAGATATGACTGCTCTAATGGCTGCGTTTAGAACATCCAAGTCCACTGCATCATCAACATTACCTGGTTGACCAGGTCGAAGGTTCGTTGGATAGGCAGCCATTTGCTGATGCTGCTGCTGCATCTGCGGCGGCTGCTGTTGCTGTTGTTGTTGGGGAAGCTGTTGCTGATGCTGTTGCTGCTGCAACTGCTGGGATTGTGGGTCATCGGGATGGAGTTGTTGCTGGTGCTGCATCTGCATCACTGCCTGAATGGCGGCATTGAGTACGCCCAGATCCACGGGAGGTTCGTTGTTACCTCCCTGAGAAAATGGACCCTGTGGTTGCTGCTGCTGCTGATTGGGATGCTGCTGGTGGCCTAATGGCCCCTGATGGTGCGGATTCATGGGACCCGAGAAGCCTGGCGGTGGCTTGGACATATCCGGAATGAAAAAGTTCGGCCCACGCGGATCTGCAAAGGGATTGCCTTGCTGCTGTTGTGGGTGCTGCTGCTGATGGTAGTTACCTCCAGGATACTGGTCATGTTGTGCTGAGGGATCGCCCATCTGGTTGTGGTTGCCACCTGGCATCGCTATCCGCTGGGCCATCAGCGAGGGTATGTTCTTCTGTGGCGGACCACCGGGGATCTGCTGCTGGTGGTGCATGTGCGGCGGCTGCTGGGATTTTTGTGCCACCATTAGTTGCTGTTCAAGCTGCTGCTTCTGTTGCTCAAGCTGGGCAATCTGTTGGCTGGCATGCTGAATAAATATTTGATGTTGTTTTTGGTAGCTACAGAGAGACAACGATTAAATATGTATCTTCAAAATAAAGAGCTTAAGATAGTTACTTGTCCAAAGTGGCCTTGGTGTTTTGGGTGAATTTGGATGCTATTTCATGATGAGTGTTTTGTAAATTCGTCTTGTACTCTTGCATGGAGGAGTCTGGCGATTGCAGCTTTGAAATGACACAGGCATCGAAGAACTTGGCCTTGGACTCCCATAAAGACAGCAGCTTGGCTAACTTTTGGCGTTGGTCGTGGCTGGCAACTGTTAAAGATAGGATTGTTATTAAATACGAGTTCCAAACATATATTTGTATAATACATACTCAAATCCGCGCTGCAGAACATCGGAATGACCACATTCTCGAGGCTGTTCTTCAAGTCATTGATGTTCTTGCGCATGCTGTAAATACATCGTTCCACTTAATGACATTGCTCCCATCTAACCTAACCAGTCCGATTACTAGGTCCAGTCAGTATAGTCCAGTGCAATGGGTCTGGCTTGGAACTAACCAACAGAGCTGACTACTTTGTTGCTTAGTTCTCTTAGTGTGGGTCTTTGTAGATCTATTTATTGTCGATTTTCTGTGCGAACTTACCAATGATGGAGGATATCATTAACTAAATATATAAGATGCAATTTTTGCTGAAACGTGGAACCATTGACCAAAGCCCTAAAAATAAATTAACAAACAAAAAACATATTTTTTTCTAGTTTTCTGTATGCACAACAATATTGCCAAAATAATTTGTTGTGCTATACTATTTGGATTAGTTAATCATCTTATCTTTTTTTTTCCTGTTTTGGCACAGTGTATTTTTGTGTGTGTTATGTGAGTTGTTAGCTTAATTAAAAAAAAAAAATAGTGATGCGGATTGTTGGTGTGTTTCCCTAACAATGCTTTAAACCTCCAGATCGGGGAACTATACATAATCATATCATAATCATTATCATAATCATAATCAATCGGGAAGTCTCAATGCCTCCATCGCACAATCGTTCAATCGATCATCTCTCGCATTTGGATTTGCAATTGGTATTATGGTTTTGGTATTGTTTGGTTAGTATTTCACTCGTTGAAAGAAAGAAACACAATTTAATTAATGCATATTGAAGAATATTAATCATAAAACTGAGGCATACTTCTTTAAAAGATATTGTAAAACGACATTGATTTTTGCGCTGTCGGTTGAATGCTGTAAAATCCAGTTCTTGCCTAAAATTGCAATATCAAACGGGTTACTCATATTGACATTTTCATCGGCAATAATTTATAAGTTATACATATATAATTAATCAAAAGGTTTAATGAATTTTTTTTTTTAAAGAGATTGTGTTTTGGTGTGTGGATCATGTGGATTAAATACTATCTTTTTTATCTTTTAAAATAGTTATATTATGGCTTATTTAAGCTAGATTCTACAAACAATCAATAACAGAGTCCCGACTGGACTGGTACTCATATTTACCTGCTGAGATGCTATCCTTGGTGCAGGACTCGATGATAGGCTGCAGCACGGCGTCAAAGTCCCTCAGCACGATGCCCTGCTCCTGGGCCAACTGCTCCAATTGAGTCGTCTGAGCTGTCGCAATCGCCTCCTCGATCTGCTTCGTCTTTTGGGTCATCAGGGCCTACATATTTCGTATCAGGTTGGAGTTGTTGGAGTTCGTCGGAGGGTGCAATTTAGTTCGATAGTGGATGCATTCAGTTCGTTTCGGATCGGATTTGAGTCATTGAGCGGGCACACAAAGGCATTGTCAATTCGCATTTGCGATTTCACATTCAATTTATAAACAAATTTTGTATTGTTTTTTTTGTTTTTTTTTTTTTTGGTTTTGATTTATACAGATTTTTATCAGTTGGTATGAAGAGTGGTTTGATATTTTTTTTTTTTTTTTGGTTATGTTTCAAAAAATACAATAAAGCAAAAATTTAATGTAGCATTGTAAATGGTTAATTCAATAGATAAAATTATAGCAAAAATGTTTCAAATGCTGGAAAAAATACACCACAAATGTATTTCAATCAAGTTGAAGGATCGGATATGGAGGACATTAAAATGGACCGACGAAGGGGCAGGACCAGGAGATAAAGTTTTTATAATTCTGACATTTTTTGAATAAAAATTCAAAGAGGAGTAAATTGTAGATCTTTGGATCCATCAAGATAAGGTAAGCAGTTGAAAATGCTTTCAAGATAAGAATACAATCCTTTTATAATTATATTCGAAATGGGGGAACTAGTTGAGGTTGGTTTTATATTTATATATCAGTTTATAAAGAACTAGTAGCAACTCCTCAACAATTCTTTGATATCATAAAACAACCCTTTTCCTTTTTAAAGCCAAAAGAATGAGCGGAAGTTTCAGCCTTTCAATTACCCATGAGCTGCTCTAATCTCTTAGAAATATTCTCTCAAATATATATACAGTGTACCAGTGAGTATCTATTTTAAATTACCGTGTGCTGAGCTGAGAGGTTCGCTTCGGATTGCTTTATTTGTTCCCGCAACGTCTTCTGCTGCATATTGACGGCATCCAGTTGAGAGGATAGGTTCAGTGTGATGGGATTGCCATTGCCTTGCGGGTTGTTTGGAGGTCCTTGTCCAGCATTAGGTGGCCACATATATGGCGGTTGTTGCTGCTGCTGCATGTTGTCCTGTGCATTTTCTGGCGGGTGCTGTTGCTGTTGATTGGGCGGCGCATAATGGGCAGGCGGTTGATGTTGTTGCATGTGAGGCGGATGTTGCATGTAGTTGTTTTGTTGTTTCAACACTACAATATATGGAAAGTTAATAGGAGTCGGTTATTTATTTAATTTTTTATACTTACATGCTTGTTCTGCAGCCACCCGGAATTGATAGTAACTGGCGAACTCGCCACCGTAAAGGAATTCAAACTTTGGGTTATTCTGCTGCTTTTGCTTGGTAATGGCCTCGAATTCTGGTCCATTTCTGGCCACAAACTCTGCCAGTTTGTCAATAATATTGCGTAAACTGGCATCTGCAATTTTGCATAAAATGTGAGCATATTTATTTGACATGGGTGTGGGTGTGTGTGTGAAGACTCGTATTCGCCCCCCAAACCGGGTCCTGCGGGCAATAATCTGCTGGCACTCACCTCCAGGCGGTTGCACGTCCATTTCACTGATGCTTTTACAAACTATTTGCTTTGTAACTTTGCTTTAACATTACTTTTTACACTTTTTCAGCGGCACTTTTTCTGTTCTGCTTCTTATCCTGCCTATCGATAACGTGACGCCATTTTGACAACCGATGACATAAAAATAGAGGTGACAGTCTGACTTAATTTGAAAATAAGTTTTTCTAATATTTAATCTATTTAAAAACACTATAAATAAAATATTAATGAATATTACATTTGGAAAGACACTCTGAAATGGCAATTTTATTTATAAGAACTTATACCTCACCTTTATTTCATAAACTATGTGGTGGAGTATGCACCTGGCAACCCTGCCTATCTACCGGTGCGATAGTTCTAAGATAATACAAATACCTTAATATTTTCAAAGTAAAGTAAACAAATAAGTCTGTGTATTTGTTAAACAAGCCATTATTGTTTAATGAATTAAAAGCAGATGCACCTTTCACAGAGGCATGTCCCATCGATCTTGTAAGCTGAAAAGCCTCCGGATTGCGTGGCAGTAATTTTAACAAGGGACCCGTCATATAACTTTGTGATATCTATACCCACTGTATAAACGCACACAGTCGCGTTCGATCGTTCAGATGAGCAGTAGAATGGGTGAGAGTCAGCCTCCCGGAAGCGTTATCACTATCAATGGTGCTTCGTTGGCGGATACGCCGCGGAAATCATCGTCCGCGGAGCCGCCTCAGGAGCTCCGCATCCTGTGCTTCGACCTGACCTTTTACAATCGAACCACTCAGTTCCTGTTGAGCTGTGCCGGTGTCTTCATCCTGTACATACTCTATGGCTACCTGCAGGAGCTAATCTTTACCGTGGAGGGATTCAAACCATATGGCTGGTTCCTCACCCTTGTGCAATTTGGCTACTACATAGGCTTCGGCCTGGTGGAGCGGCGGTTGGAGAGTTTTCGGGCAAGTGGAACTTCCTTTTGGAATATAGAACCTGCTCCACGATGCATACCCATGAAAACCTACTTGGTGCTAGCTGCGTTGACCCTCGGAACCATGGGATTGTCCAATTCTAGTTTGGGTTACCTCAACTATCCCACCCAGGTCATCTTCAAGTGTTGCAAACTCATTCCCGTACTGGTAGGCAGCATCCTCATCCAGGGCAAGCGATACGGCCCACTGGACTTTGCAGCCGCTAGCTGTATGTGTATAGGATTGGCCTGGTTTACATTGGCCGATTCCCAAATGACTCCCAACTTCAACCTCCTCGGAGTGGCTATGATTTCAGGCGCTCTTCTGTGTGATGCTGCCATAGGAAACGTACAGGAGAAGGCGATGCGAGAATTCAAAGCACCCAGCAGCGAGGTGGTCTTCTATTCATATGGTTTAGGATTCGTTTACCTATTTGTGATCATGCTGGTTACAGGAAATTTCTTTAGCGGCTTTGCATTCTGCTTGGAGGTGAGGAATAATAATTACAACCTTTTGAAGTCAATAATATTAGATAATTTTTTTTTTCAGCATCCTCTTGAAACCTTCGGTTATGGATTTCTATTCAGCCTTTCCGGATACTTGGGCATTCATTTCGTTCTCGCTTTGGTGAGGAGCAGTGGAGCTCCAATAGCCGCCACGGTCACAACAGCACGTAAGGCTGTAACCATAGCCTTTTCCTTTGTGCTCTTTAGCAAGCCCTTTACAATCCAGTATGTATACCAAATAGCCAAACTAAATCACTTTGAAACTCATTTATTCCTTCCGCAGATATCTATGGTCCGGATTGGTAGTGGTCCTGGGAATTTACCTTAATGTCTATAGTAAAAAGAACAAACTGACCTTTGCCGACATCCGGCAGAAGCTTATGAAGATGGGCTACGCGAAGTTGGTCAAGTCACCGAGTCGCAAATTTCTCATCGAAGTTTAGTTTGCATACCAAAAATAGAATTTGCTACTTTACATTTTTAGTTAAATTGAAACAACAGTTTTCTTTAAGAAAACCATGTACTATATTTACTTAATTATACACTGAACGACTTTAAATCCATTTGTTATCTGTCCATGTCGAATTCCATGACACGTTTGAAGAGATCCTGTCGTTCTTTGGCGGAGGTCAGCTGGCCCATTTCCTTATCCAGGAATTGTTTCTGATGTTTGATTATAAACTTGTTGCATTGGATTATTGTAGCTCCAATGTAGAGGGTTCTGAATTTCGCCCTCACGTCTCCAATCTGTAAAGTATTCGTTTGTAAAATCCATGTAGGGAAGGGTAGTTTTATTTTAGTTACCAGTGTAATCAGAGGCAAAACGCTGGAAACAAATTGCTGACCGCGATGGAGACAGCGTATGATGGCTATTTTGGTGCGATCATTGCAATATTTTACCCGGAATCCATTCTCGATCAGGCCGAGACCATAAACACCATAGTATTTCTCAACATTTTGAAGCAGGCATTTGCTCAACGTGTAGTCATTTAGGCGCAGTGTGTTTGTTGGTGTATGTGGCACAATCTGCACTGCAATATATCTTTTTTGTGGGAAAAGTACTTTTTTAGCATTGTTTTTATTTATATTTTAAGTTATTTACCTATTTTTAATGCGGACCATGCTTTGTTTACCTATGTATGTGGTGTGACCAAGAATAAGAATCAAATCACAATTTTCCGCTAGGTGGCGCGTCGGTTTTTAAATTCTATTTTGAAAGTCTGGCAACGCTTCTTAACGGAAAAATAAATGTAGGATTCCCCTTTGATTTAAAATTTAAATCTTCTCGATAAAATTCGAATACTAATTTGCAAATCTCATTCAATAATAGTATATGTTTATATCTTTTTTATTATTCTCATTTTTCAAAAGATTTATAAAATTCAAGTTAAACAAGAAGAATATAATAAATTTTGCTTAAAGATGTACAACTTCGAAATGGTTTGGTCAGGTTTTTTTTTTAATTATGAAGAACAAATAGTCCCATACACAAATTTGAAAAATTGTTGCCCACCTGCAGAATACTGTGTGTTTTTCCATCGAGCATTGCTCCACGCCTTCCCCGAGTGACGATTTCTCCAAGTTTCGCCTCGTTGTCGTGCATCTGGTGGCAGATATTCCGAAATATATATGTATAAATTTACGTTTTTGTTTATATTGGGGAACTCGGGGGACGCAGCGCAACGCATCGCATTATAGCTAGCTAGAGAACACATGCAGCCTCCGTGGTGTCAGCCCCTGGCCACCATCCGCCAACCCACTCCACCAAAAATGCTCCTCCAACCGAACTGCCCCACCGATCGCTAGCCATGGAAATCGGCTATACGGATCGTGTTCAGCCTCCGGGCTGTGAATGTAGCGGGATTCTACTACTCTCAATGTTTTATTTTTGTTTTTTTTTTCGATAGCACATTTACAGTTATTTCTAAAAAACAATAAAATTCAGGCAGTGGCGTGGAAAAGTGCTACATATACTCCACCGATCCGCTCCGATCCGATACGACAGATCGGTCGTGTCGGTATTCGTGTTTTTCCGTTTCTGTTTTTGTTTTGTATGTGTGGCAAGTTCAGAGATTCTGGTCTATATTTTGGAAAACGCATCCGAGCAGCATCGTAGTTGGCACGAATAGTCCGTGGCGATCGGTTCGAAAGATATTTTCATCAGTCAGATTTTGGAAAATCAGCAAACAGCATCAACATGAGCAGCGTCGTAAGCACACCTATATCTTTAAAGGATTACTAGGATAGCAACTAAGGAATATATATTTTGTTTTTCCATAAAATCCAGGATGATGATCTAACCCCCGAGCAGATTGCTGTCCTCCAGAAGGCCTTCAACAGCTTCGATCACCAGAAGACTGGCAGTATCCCAACAGAAATGGTTGCCGATATCCTGCGTCTGATGGGTACGTTGAAATATCAAGGGACTTTATGAGTAAACATACTAATATTACTATATATCCAGGTCAGCCTTTCGACAAGAAGATCTTGGAGGAACTGATCGAGGAGGTCGATGAGGACAGTAAGTAAAAGTCAATATTCTAATCTTTATACTAGACGGCGATAAACAAAAGGCTAATCTTAAGTTTTTTATTAGCCATTGAAAGAGTTATAAACATGTAAACAAAACAAAGTTATATTATCTTTTTGTAGAGAATATTAAAACGAAAATGTATTCCAAACACTTCAAAGTTAAATAAGTTTTAGAAAAAAATAGCTATAGTGTTGAAGTAACTTGATATTTTTAGTGTTTTCATATTTTGCATGCATATTTTTCATCTGAACTATAAAATATATACAAAGTTGTAGAGTATATAATTTAATTAGAAAATATAAGTATGTGCTTTTGCCGAAAGAGGCCAGCGCAAGCACATCTATAGATTATAATTAAACAAAAAAAAAGATCCATACTATTCAATGCGAATCCACTGACGATCATATTTCACTTTCTCGCTGTCATTGATTTATGATCGTTAGGGTTTTTGCCCCGATCGTTAGTTTTTCAGCTAATTATAATTTTCATCTTTTTTTGTTTTGTTTGACAGAGTCCGGTCGCCTGGAATTCGGTGAGTTCGTACAGCTGGCTGCCAAGTTCATCGTTGAGGAAGATGCCGAGGCGATGCAGAAGGAGCTGCGTGAGGCTTTCCGCCTTTATGACAAACAAGGAAACGGCTTCATCCCCACCACCTGCCTCAAGGAGATTCTTAAGGAGCTGGACGACCAGCTGACCGAGCAGGAACTGGACATCATGATCGAGGAGATCGATTCTGATGGTTCTGGTACAGTGGATTTCGATGGTGAGTACATACGTGGGTGAATCGTATTTTCGGTTTCATTCATTCTAATAGATTGCTATCCACCCACCCGCATGTAGCGATCATAAATTGCTATTCATCATCATGATCTCGATGATCATGTTGGCTGTGGCACGGCACTATAAAAAAAAAAGTCTATTTTTTTATTGATTTTAATATTTTGAAATACTTTTCGCAAGACTCAAGGAAATTGTATAACGGAAATAGCTTTTTATGAGTGATTAATATTAATAATTGGAAAGGTATCTCTGGCTCATTTAATAATTTTTAAATGGCTATGATAATTGTGATAAAAATAACACCATGAGATGACACATATCTAGTAAAATCTTATTTTTTTTTTTCGGTGTGGTGATCTTGAGATCTTGGACCACTCGATTATGACAGCTTGATCACTGCTCCCATGGAGCATATCGGTAGCTATTTTTAGGCGCGACACACAAATTCGATTCTGAATGTTTTCAACGCATTTTTCATTCGACTTTTCCATATACACATTATGTATATACTATATATATTTAATTTGTTTTCTTCAGCACTTTCGTGTTTATGGAATATTTATTTATAAATGCATATAGCGGTTGCTGTGCGCCTATAATGGCATCGGTTTAATGTCTGTCGTTTTGTTTAATTTACAGAATTCATGGAGATGATGACCGGCGAGTAAATAAACGCACTGCGTCTGCCAGCCACCCACACACCACCCCCTCAGAAACACTTGCACCCACATTACACCTGGACACACACACACACACCTGTTGGGCACACGTTTGTTTGCTCCTATTTGCACATTTGTTTCACTTTTTATTTGCATCTTACCCCCCCTTTGTTTTTGGGAGCAAACAAATCCACGTACTCCGGCTTGATAACGCCAAACACAAGTAGCTTTAGAACTTTTTTACTACTTTTTTATACAAAAGAGCAATAATAGCCGCGAAATGTACTGTGTATGCAAAAAAAAAAAAGATAAATAAATATATAAAATTAAAAATAAATGTTATACTATAACAGAAAAAAACAATCCAGCTTTAATTCTTATTTATTTTCGGTACATCTCGGGATTAACCTTAATCGGGAAGCAAACATCTCCATATATTTCAGTAAACAGAAAATATTTATATTTTTTAAACAAAAGCGGTGGATTTCTTAATATTGGTTTTCTAAAAAATGGATATTCTGAAAAGAAGATGTTTTTGACATTTACGAAAAATAAATAGGCAAGCAATTACTCATTTCATGGGTCGACGTTCTAGAGACAAATTGTGATTTTTATATATTTTCTTGTTATATTAATATTTTTATTTTTCTGCTTGCCAGTCAAAAACATTAAAGTTTATTTCGTATATTTTGTAAATCAACAGCAGCTGAAGGTTTATTACGATTTGTTTTAAAAACACTTTTCTTTTGGTGTTTATTTTTTCATAAATTTATTTTGCTTGTATCAATTACTATATATTTTTTAATGACACTTTCGAATTAGCGAAATCTTTTCCGCGAAAAAAACACGAGTCATAGGTGAACAATCTGCCCCGAATGAGACATTTGAACTACTTTTTGGCACAGTTGTTTAATGATGTTTAACCAATAAATCAGAACTTACTGTCTTCCTCTTCTTGCCACTTTTTTGTTAACTGTTTTCGTTTCTCTTTAGGATTTGATATTGGCGGAAAAAATGAATAAATGTTGAGCTTCTTACCACCTGGCAGCAGCGATCAGAAGCCAACTTCTTGTAGCTTCGATAGCGAAGAGAAGCCCGAGGCCGAGATCGCGATCGCAATAGCGACCGCAAAGAAAGCTACCGGGCTCCAAAAGCTCCCGTCTTCTTAGCCAACTTTAACAATACGCGTCTACAAAGTTAGGGGCTAATGAGTTGAGCGCTGGGCGTCGAGCATGGAACGTCGTACCGCTCCCCTATCGCCGTTCATTTGATTAGTAATAGTGATCGCGAGTTTTCCCCCCCGACTTTTGACAGAGTCTCGTGATTCGCGCCAACTGTTTGCAATTGATAAAAAAAAGTATTAAAAAGTAATCATTCAGTGAAGTGGATAAATAAAGAAATTATAATGCCGCAGAGGTAAAGAATGAAAATAAACAAGAAAAGACGGCAGGCGGCAGAGGCACACTGTTGTGGCTCTACCGTTATTATTTATATAATAACTGGCGACGGAATTTGCTTGTTTTGGCTTATACGGTGTGTGGCCAAGAATCAAAATGCGAACGTGTTAAAAAGACGCCGCAAAGCAACAGCCGTGCCTATAAAATTTATGGTGGCATAAATTTTAGGAGCCCCCTTTCAAGTCAATACTCTATTCTTTTCGTTGGCCTTTTCGTTTTTCTTGACATTGGCTTATCAAATAAATTATAAAACTAAATTGGACCTGATAAACGGCTTCGGGTTGTTGTAAATTTGTGCGTGTGTGTTTAGTGTGTGTGTGTGTGTGAGTGTTTGTGGCGATTGCCAAGTTTGCTTGATAAGCACTTTTCGGCCAGTTTTTAGTGGGGTTTTGTAATTATAGCCATGACTGAAAACAAAAGCCATTGCCACCGGCTTGCTGACACGCGCGCGTTGCACTGCTGGGGGCTTAGAGCTTCGGTCCGATCAGCAAAACGGGAAAATTCTGCAGCTTAGCGGCGGAAACCGAAAACCAGACACCGACGTCAGCCAGGTGACGTGACTCATGACAATGGGCCAACAATTAACACTTGACTTTGAATCAAATCAAGCCGAAATCAATCGCAAACATGATAACGAAAACACAATTGTTCAAAGCAAACAAATCTGGAGAATCGATGGAATTAGTATAATGTGAAATAATAACAATGTATTCTCTTGTTATTCTCTTCAAACCAAAGTTCCACCAATAACTGGTCCTTCCAGCCACTTCATCGGCAAAGAAGTAGCGCTGGATATCCACAGCATGTCCTCAACACAGTACCGGAAACAGCTATTCTTACAACACCCCCGCCCACCAGAAAGCGTAAGTTGGCCAGAAAAGATTCAAATTTAGGTTTAAATCTACCGCGCACTTTATAGTTCGATTAGGGCTGCCATTTATCGATACCACAGAACCAGGGCTGCTAACTATCGCCTATAATAGAGAATTCAGGGGGTTCCCCTAGGATGTTAGGGATTTTCACACATTTGAGGAAAACATTTATAGGGGAAGAGCTTCTTGTATTTTTTTGGAAGTTGGTGTTTCAATATTTTGTCATTGCTACTGCACAAGATGCAACTTTTAAACAACAAAAGTTGCCTAAACGTTTAAGAAACAGATAATTAGTTTCTTATTTGGAAAGATAATAGCCATAAAGATTAATTAAAATTTTCATTATTAGCCAGTAAACTAGTTTGTAGAGCTACAGAATGAAAAGGCTGTGAACTATCGACTTTTCTTACCGATACAATGATCAGGGTTGTCAACTATCGTAAACTTTTTTTTAGTACTAAAATACTAAAACCTTTAAAATACCAAGATAAATAAAAACAAATAAAATTACAGCGCTCACAATACAAATTGCTCCTTCCACGGAAAACAAACGCAGATTTGTACCACCACGGAAAAAGGCGAAAAGCGCGATGAAAATGCTCGCGGACACAGAGCGGGAGGAGGCTCTCAATTTGGTGAGTAATTAATTGACATCGAGGAAAATTTGTCAGTCCAAAACTGAATCCAAAAAACCATGACAACGGCATCCAAACAACCCAAAAACAATAACAAAAGTGGCCTCAGCCACCGTTGTTGGCCAAAATTAACCAACTATATAGTGCTCAAATTGATTATCGATTCTTGTGTTCTGTTTCCTGTTTTTCCACCCACTCTCTCGATTTTATTGATTTGTACACGGGAACGTGCTTTGTTCAACTTGGAAACGCTATCGCAAAACACACAACCACATATACCAATAATCTCACGATGGCGGGACCACAACAAATATGCAAAAACACAAACATATCTACGTTGCCCCCCGTTCCTGCCTCTCGCAGCAAATTGAATTCGAGTGGGTGCTGCGCCAAGAAGTTCACGCGATATTGAAGCAACTGCGGACCATTTTGGTGGTAAGTTTCTGATAAAACGAATATCTGGCATGGTATTATGAATTGTTATCCGCAGGAATGCGCGCATCGGTTTCCGGTGCCGCTCTATGAAAATGAGGGAAAGAAGACTGAGAAGTTCATACTCACCGTGTCGCCCGATCAACTAAAGGCAGTGCTGACCCTCACCGGCGATGCCATCACACAGGCTGTAAGCTATTCCTCCTACAATCCTCCTCCATTACTTACACCCTTTTCCCTAAAGTCTTGAATTAAAGTAACTAAGTAACTAAAATCGAGAAATCCCCGTCTGACAAAAACAATTCCATTGCATGATTTACTAACAAACTGACTCATAAAATCTAAATATAAAGGTTATAAAACCCAGAGAATCATCACTGATAATGTCATGAAAAATGTTTATTTTCAGGATATTAGCTTTAAGCTGTGCAAGGCCCCGAGCCAAACACAACGCACCTCCATTACACAGGACTCGCCCTGGAAGCTGCAACAGGTCCAGGATGCGGCCAACCATCTGCAGACAGCCATCAATCACATCGACGATGTCGACGACTCTTATCACTTCAAGTGAGTCATTTTTGTTTCCCGAGAGATTCAATGTTATTTATAGGTCAATTCTTTCTGTATTTCTTTTCCGCAGAACCTCCGACGAAGTGCTGCATGTGATAGGCAACATTCTGGATGCTCTGCAGCGGGGACGGAACAGTTTACTGGTGCCCAAGAAGAAACCCATTGACGAGTTGATAAAGGGCCGCAACATGAAATCGCTGGTGCCCAACCTGCCCGAGGACTTGGCTGTTAGCTTCTATCTGCAGAGCCACAAGCTTATTATAGCGGTCTACCAACTGTTAAATAACCAAGGCACCATGCGCTTTGATTCCCGCCAGGCGGAGGCCTCCGTTCAGTGGCTAAACGATGTGTTGCTGTTACTCATGAATGGCCAGAAGCTGTGCCAGCAATTAAAAGACAAGGTGAGTATGATGGGCAAATGAAATATATATTTTTTGATGATTTCCTAGTACAATTGGCTGTAAGAATTATTGGCATAAAACGAGAAAATGCTCCCCGCGGGTAGGAAAAGTATACTTAAGAATTTTAATTATTTTCTGTTCAACTACACATTTTCTTTGCACGGGCTGAGATATAACACAATTCTCGAAACCAAATGCTAAAAATATCAATATCAGTATGATTCATTGCCAACCCGTTGGGAAATATTTGTTTTCAATTATGATAAATTGAAACTAGAGCCCATTAAAATTCTGCCTGGGTATTAAGAGAAGCAAATTTTGAAACCTATTGTGAAATATTTTATTTCAATTAAAACTAATCAATATTAATTGAAACTCGATCAGTTTTGGTTTGAATTATAGAATTTTGGGAATTTAGCAACAATATATTTCTGTTCAGTTCTTTAATTACTGAACCCCCGCCCAATTCCTTATATATTCATTTCAAATGCCTGTTCAGAACCTCAAGTGTAATGTAAAGAATGGGGTATTTTTGAATTTGGCTCTTGAGATTGTTTGTAGACCTATGGTTCAATGAGCCAAATAATTGGAATTGTTATTTAATTGGTAAATCGCCACACCAAAAAAAAAAGAACACTCCCACCAAATTGTAGACATCGGGCTTAGCTGCAATGATAAGGGTGTCGTCTGCTCTTGAACTGATATCATGCCGATTCGCACCGGTAGAGCACATGTTCCGAGGGCCAGTAGATGACAGATGCTGTCCCATTTTCCGCACCCACGAGATGATGCCAAGTTTTATTTAGTTTCTGGCCGGTTGCCAGGGCCACGCTGCAGTTCTTGACTGTGACGCAAGTCGGCAATTAAAGTGGCCAATATGGGAATTGGCAACTATAGCAAATATGGGATGAACCGTCGGGTTGGGCTGGGTTTGGGTTGGGGCGAATGGGTGCGAATAAGTTGTGTGTTTGTGTATTTCTAAACTAATATTTTCATTCTTTCGCAGATATCTGTGTTTTCCGTGTACAAAGATTTCACAGTTGGATCGCGATCTCCATCGGCGCTTTCGTATTGAAAATGGAATGAAGACATCGGCGAGGAAGGTTACTGATTAACCTATCCAAACTGCGGAGCGGCATTAGACAGAAACAATAACAACAATAATAGCTAATAAAGAACCGTACTTGTAATAGCGAAGTAAATAATGTTAGTTGAAATGTTGGCACGCCCCATAATACCAATGCTATATACAGAGTTCAGAGTTATATACATACATACATACAAGCTAGTTTAATATACCGAGTCGACATTCAACATTTATGATAAATAACGATTACGCATTACCGTAGAACTTGAGTTCATCGCTTCACGTCACTCCAATTGTGCATCAAAATGCATCTAAATAGACATTAGGCTGGAAGGCAAGAAACAAAATGATTGTGAAAAATAATAAGAGGAAAACCAATTGTGTTTTGTATGTGTAACTAAATGAAATTGATAGATAATTATAGTTTATTCGTACGTGTAATTTAATGTAATATACTATGTCCCTTATTTATGTTTGCAAGCGCAATCAATTCAATCCAAATGAAATCCACCAAGTCAGCAGTCAGTCGTCGGTACTTAAGATCGGTACTTACAACCTATACACCCAAAAAAATATATACACATATATTAATATAGGTATATATGTGCATGATACATTGGCATTTACATGATATTGTTGTAATAAACCAAACCGAAATGTGAACAGAATTTTTAATTGTACTAAACACCGTTTTGTATTCGTATTCGTAATTGTATATCCGTAATTGTATTTCGCGTACTCGTTAATTGTTAATGGTTAATGGTTAAGCGCGCCTAATCCTAATCTAATCCAAAGTCATTTGTATCAACGGCCTTTACTTCTCGTTTACTTTATACACCTACCAGGGGAGCTTATACAGCTAAAGCTAGGGAGCTAAGGAGATGAGATGCAACGAAAACAATTACCATTGTACTTATTGAATATAACAATTGCCTAAGCACCCAATCAATTGCATGGGATGGATAAGATGAAGACAACTATTTATGTAATCACTAAGCGTACTTACTGTCCACATTCATTTAATTGTTGTTGAATAAAAATTACCTTTTACCAAAACTCCTTTAAACTGGATTTCTTTTTAAATTTTGCGCCAAATTTCATAAAGAGCGATTACCGCGATCGATAACACCTAACGATAGGCAAGCGGGCTGGCAACTCTTGATTTGGTTTTAGCCAGTTTTGTTTATAGCCATCTCACAGATTCAAGTCTGCTGGCGAATCAAACAGTTACCAGTCTTCAGGCAAACCAAACGGTGGTTGGCCCTCCGAAAATTACGAAACTTTCTGGTAAGTAGTCTCTTACCTTTAACTAGAGTTAGATCTTTGAGCCATGTCACATATAAGATGGACAACTGCAATCACGGTAAATGGCTAAAACGGTTGTAACCAGAATGCCAAAATCTAAGAGCTTTACGTGCATGTCGAAATGTATGCGGAAACCAGTTGTAGTAATTATTTGGAGGCTGTGTTGTAATCGCAGCTAGCCCAACTTCAGCATTAGCACATTTACCAGTGTTTCTTTTGGCCATTGTTGGTGTTAACTTTCGTGTTTTTTTTCTCGGAGTCTGCACAGCGTCTTAATAAACTCAAAAGACAAAAGTTGACCGTGGCCAAGTAACACACTAAGACGGAATCGAAATAAAAATCGAGAGTTTGGGTCAATCAACGAAAGTGCTTGGGGTGATTTGGCTATAACTATTTGCTAGCGGTAACTTTTCAAAAAGTGAAGTTTTTCGAAAATTGCATGAATGTGCAGTAACTATTACTCAATTGCAGTGTTTGACCTTTTATAAAAATCTTGTTGAAGGTAATTTCTACTTCATTCATTTTTATTGACTTGTTTGAGAAATATAAGGAAATAATAAAGTAGTACTTATTTTATGAAACTTAAAAGATAAAAATAAAGTAAATATTTAGTATTCATAATAAATCGGGAAAATTAACGTTAATATTTTAAAGAAAGGTATATAATTTTAGCTAATCAAAAATAGGGTTTTTAGTTAAAAAAAAACAGAATTTTTCACATTTTTACCTCCTAAAACAATATAATTTAATAAGGTTTATAAATTATTAGCGAAACAGTGTGTCACGTAAGCCGGAGCATTTGAAAACGCGCCAAGTCATTCGGAAACCTGCTCCGCTGACCCTCGAAGAAGGTCGCCAGCCGGCTCTGATGGTGATGAGCCAGTTTAATGTGTTATGTTTATGGCCCCACCAATTAAAGTAGCTCTCACGGAAACCCCACTTAAAACTCGGGCTAACCAACCTGCTTTCGGTCTCATTGCAGTCATTCCAGTAAAATAGTGCACTTTGACCCACAGACGCAATGAGTGGTGGCAAAAGTGGAGGGGAAGTGCTGCTCGTTACCGGCGGCAGTGGATTTCTGGGTCAGCACCTCATCAAGCAGCTGCTGGAGCGTCGCGAGGAGTTGGGCATCAAGGAGATACGTACATTGGACATTGTGCCCTACAAAAACAACATTGGGCATGAGGAAACGCCTATTCTGCGCACCTTTGTTGGTGATATCGGAGGCGATCGGGATGCACTCAGTCCAATCTTCGCCGGTGTGGATGGCGTCTTCCATTGTGCCGCCTCGGTGAAAATCGAGTATCCGCCCAACTATGAGGAACTGGAGCGAGTAAATGTGAACGGTGAGTGAACAGCTTTCCTATAGTTTATTACCAATTGGTTTGATTAGCATACTTGACATTTGAATCGCAAAGAACACCATCCGGTAGCTTTTATAAAAGGTTTTTCAAAGACAGCATGACTCTGCTATATGAAGATCGAGTTAAGAACTTTTGTCATTTTGGTAAACAATGATTTGAATATATTAATTTGATTTGAATTGATTATATTAGGGGATCGGTCACAATGATAAACCGAAAAACTCTTAAATGACATAAATTTAGTCAATCTATAACTTAAATAATGAATAAGCATGTTTTTTTCCAGCATAAAAGTTACTTATTAAGATTGCGTATACGCCTAGTGGTTCGGATTATTCAATTATATGTATTCTGTATTATTTAATATTTTAGGCACCTTGTCTGTGGTAGATCTGTGCATCCAAAACAATGTAAAGCGATTGCTCTACACCAGCTGCACCTCCGTTTGCTTTGTGCCCTTCAAAGGACGCAGTACCTTCTCGGCAGTTATCAACTCGACGGAATCCAAAACGGATACGCCCACTCTGGACAGCTCTACTCTTTGGGAACAGGATGGCGAATTCCTCATAGCTGGATATGCATCCAGCAAGCTAAGGGCAGAGAATATTGTGCTCAACTCTAATGGAGCTCCACTGCAGAACCAGCAAGGTAAGAATTAATTTATAAAAAATGTTGCAGAATGCATGCAAAAGGGAAATATGGGAAACAGCCATGCAACTATAGCTTCAAGATCGAAATACCTTCTACTATTCGTGGATAGATTAACCTCGAATCTGTAACAAAATCAAAAACATAATTTTTTCGATTTTTCTTGAATTTTCTGGAGGGACCCCTACAAAAATCGGAAAATGCATGGAGCCACTATATGGCCCTTGTGAATGCTATATCTTTGGCAATATCGATCCGATTCTTAAGCGAAATGTATTAAACGATTCACTGATGGATTTTCCGTAAATCTGCATCAAACCCCACCAACACAATTTTTTTCCCGATTTTTCTTAAAATTTCTGGACGGACCCCTTCCAAAATCGAGAAAATGCATGACGCCACTATATGGTCCCTTGTGAATGCTATATCTTTGGCAATATCGATCCGATTCTTAAGCGGAATGTATTAAACGATACACTGATGGAATCTCCGTAAATCTGCATCAAAACCTATAAATACCATTTTTTTTTTCGATTTTTCTTAAAATTTTTGGAGGGACCCCTTCAAAAATCGAGAAAATGCATGGAGCCACTATATGGCCCTTGTGAATGCTATATCTTTGGCAATATCGATCCGATTCTTAAGCGAAATGTATTAAACGATTCACTGATGGATTTTCCGTAAATCTGCATCAAACCCCACCAACACAATTTTTTTCCCGATTTTTCTTAAAATTTCTGGACGGACCCTTTCCAAAATCGAGAAAATGCATGACGCCACTATATGGTCCCTTGTGAATGCTATATCTTTGGCAATATCGATCCGATTCTTAAGCGGAACGATTCACTGATGAATTCTCCGTAAATCTGCATCAAAACCTACCAAAACAATTTTTTTTTGATTTTTCTCAAATTTTCTGGAGGGACCCCTACGAAAATCGAGAAAATGCATGGAGCCACTATTTTGCCCCTTGCGAATGCTATATCTTTGGCAATATCGATCCGATTCTTAAGCGGAATGTATTAAACGATTTACTGATGGATTCTCCGTAAATTTGCATCAAAAACCTACCAACAAATTATTTTTTCCATTTTTCTTAAATTTTCTGGAGGGACCCCTTCCAAAATCGAGAAAATTCATGGATCCACTATATGGTCCCTTGCGAATGCTGTATCTTTGGAAATATCGTTCCGATTCTTAAGCGGAATGTATTAAACGATTCAGTGATGGATTTTCCGTAAATCTGCATCAAAACCTACCAACACAATTTTTTTTCGATTTTTCTTTAATTTTCTGGAAATTTGTAAATTATATCTCTCAAAAATCGAGAAACATGCATGGGGCCACTATATGGTCCCTTGCGAATGGTATATCTTTGGCAATATCGATCCGATTCTTAAGCGGAATGTATTAAACGATTTACTGATGGATTTTCCGTAAATCTACATCAAAACCTACCAACACAATTGTTTTTCGATTTTTCTTAAATTTTCTGGACGGACCCCTTCCAAAATCGAGAAAATGCATGGAGGCACTATATGGTCCCTTGCGAATTCTGTATCTTTGGCAATATCGTTAGATTTTTTATATTTTTCCGATAAGCCCTTAAAAAAATCCAGAAAATGAATGGAGCCAAAAAAAAATGGTGTCTTAAATGGCCAATCTGCTTATTAGCTTTAAAGACTCAAGTGTATTTATTTAAATATTTATCAATTGTTACTTATATTTTACAGATTATTTGGCCACTAGTGCCATTCGTGCCCCTCTGACCTACGGCGAATGCGACTCCCACTTCATCACGGATATTTTCGAGTATCTTTCCACCCGGGGATGGGTCTTCCCAAGGATTGCTGGTGTCGGAGGCAAACAGCAGCTGGTCTATGCCGGGAACGTTGCCTGGGGACACATTTGTGCCTATAAAGCGCTCAAAGTATCCGATAAGGCGGTTAATGGCCTTCCAGTCTTCGTTACCGATGATACGGGCATCAACGATGTGTCCAGATTTATACAGAAGATGGCCCTGTTGGGCGAGCGTTTCAAGGTGAAGACCAGCTGGTGGTATATTCCCCACTTCCTGTACTTCTTCCTGGCCTTCCTTCTGGAGGTGGTGGTGAGGATTTTGTATCCGTACACCAAGTACCGCCTGCGCTACTCCCCCCGGGCTATCGCCTCCTATACGTCCTCGATGTTGATGTACAACCGCCTGAGAGCCTCCATCCACATGGACTACATGCCACTCTACGATCCGGATACGAGTGCCGAACGGAGCGCCAAATGGTACGCCAAGTGGTGGGACGAGCGACAGAACTCCAGAAGGCAGAAGAAGTCCAGCTGAGTGGAGTGGCGCTAATCCGGCATTACGCCCTTGAACGTGTAGTCTAGTGTACGTCTCGATGTCGTAAGTGGATTTGTGTTTACTGCCCCGCTTGATGTCTTGTAAATATCCTGTTAAATAAAATGGTTGTTGTTCGTTGAAGTCACCTTTCGAGGAGCTAGTAGAGGGCACTTTATGGAATGGATTTCTGCTAAAAGGCGGTCAAAGATTTATAGAAATCACCCAAATACCTGTGTTTACTTAAGTAAGCCCCAAATAAAGACACAACAATCGCTTATGTTTTTGAACAATGTTCATATTGGTTTATTTATCATTATGAATTAATTTATTTATTTCTCAGTTATTTCATTATAATTTTTATATTATATATATATATATTTGTTTGTCTTGGTTTTTCATCTTCATGTTTTTTTTGTTGCTCTAGAGCATTTCTTTGCCGTTTGTTTTTTAAACTTATGTACCATTAGCTTAACTTATTATGCCATTATTTAATTTCATTTTGTTTAAAATCATGTTTTAGTTTTTTGTTTTTGTTTAATATGCGGTTGCTGATTTTTGTTGCTGCTGCTGATTCTGCCGATTTCACTGCCGATCTTAACCTGCCCGGAGGAAGGACATGTATGGGTGATACATATCCTTTCCTTCGACTCTCTTATCGCTCCCTGTACGTGGCACATTGTGAACAAAGTGATTTTTAATTTGCTGCTAAAGTTGTTAGCTCTTTTTTTTTTTTTGTTTTTTGCATATACATATTGCGGGATGTCTGAGTGGGTGTGTGTTGCATGTTTGTGTCTGTATGAGTTAAAAACTTATGCAATTTTCCAGCTGTCCGAGTATGTGTATTTAAAAGAGCAACAATTTGCCCTTTTGTGTCGTCTGTTAATAAATGTTGAACTTGTTATAGCCTTGATGTTGCTTCTGCCGATGTGGTTGTTGCTGATGATGTTGCTGTTACTGTCGTTGTTGGTTGTGAAAATGGTAGTTCGCATAGTTCGGTCCGGTTCGAGGGTCCTTACAAATAATTGAATTTCTTCAACCACCGGTATGCGTATCTGCCTGCCTGTCGAATGCTTAACATTATTGAATTTAACTATATGTTTATTTGTTGTTCTTGGTTATATAACTATGTATATATATATATATATATCGTTTTGGTTTTTCATTTTCATTTATGTATATACGGGCATATTTACTTGTCGGCTTTTTCGGATTTTTGTCTCCGTTAAACATATATCATTTTGTATATATTTCGAATTTTTCATCTTGTTTTTGGTTTGGTATTTTTTGTTTGTTTTCGTAGTAAATATACAAATTCGTTACCGGATTTCTTTATAGAAATGAAAAAAATTGTTTATTAAATTCTTGTTATGCTTCTATTAATGTGTGTGACTTCCATTTTCTTTTTTCTGTATTTTTTTGTATCTGTTTGCCTGCGGTTTCTTGCTGTTAATTATTATTATTATTTATTTTTTACCTTGTATAGTTTGCTGTAAGTGTAGTACTGTACCAGTATATATAGACCTTATGTACACACATTGGCAATCGCATCCAACATCCATCATCAACCACCATACCAATGGATTCCATATCATATATCATCGTTTAATTTCGATCCATTCCATTTCATTTTGTTGTGTTAAAGTATTCGCACTGAAAATTGCTGGAGCTCATACGTGGCTCCATAGACAGTATGTATGTTTAATTGATTCTCATCCTGCGCTCCTTAATTACTTTACTTACATAGTTAGAATACTTACAAACTGGACGCCCTGCTATGGCGTATTTTATAAATGTATCTTCATCCCCTTGTCATCGGTCTTGTAGTTTCATATTCAACTTCTGCCTTCCCAGCATTTGTTTTTCTTTTTTGGGGTTTTTGTTTTGTCTCTAAAGATTCCTTTGACTTTTATGTGTATAAAGTATTAAAATGATTTCATCTTGTTTTGGTTACGCATTTCTTGTAAATACAATTTTAACGCCACTCCCACCTCAAGTTCGCCTTGTCTCAATTATGTATTATTTGTTTAGGTTTTTTTTGGTTTTCCTCATTTTGTTGTATATATTAATATATAATTTTCCATATAGTATAGTGTAAAATATATAAGAGATATTGTCAATATAGTAAAGGTGTTTTGTCAGCAGGAGTTCTGCCACATCCGACTGACACATTCCTGGGGGGAATTTCTTACTTATAGCAAAAATAGTCAAGTGATCGATCGTTCGTATGAAGGTTCTTTTGTATGTGATCTCCATCGTAAATGTGCTGTGTCCGCTGTGGCTCCATGTGTCTTCTTCTTTTTGGTGTTTGTTGGTTGTAGAATTTGGTGTATGTAACTGGGTTGTGTGTGCTTTGGTGAGGTGTATGTACACATGTTTATAAAAAAGAACCAAGGACAGAAATGTATTGTGTAGGTAAAAGGGTTTTCTATCGTATAAAAGCACGTCAAAGTGTAGAAGGCCCACAAATCGTATTGTGTATGGTTTATATTCCACATACCAAGCGCCATTTTCTTTTCCAGCGCCTTTCTATGCGCTTCTCAAAAGTTCCAATTGGGCGGCTTGTCTTACTTTGGGTTTTGCTTGCTTCTTTGCCTTTTTGGTAAAAAGAAAGGATCTTCGTTCGTTAGCGCTAGATATTAGTAAATTGTATTTCATTATCGTAATCTTTATCGTAATTGTAATCGTATTTGTTGATGTTTTTGCTATACTCATACACATAATAAGAACTGATATGTTTGTAAGTCAATAATAAGAGAAAAACGGAAAGCAATTCGTATATGTAACTACGTAACTCCGCCTCAAACCCAATAATCCTTATTATCATCTGGTGTGTCGCTAATTTAAAACTATTTTACATTACACATTATGTCGTTTTCGTGCCGCCTTCGATAGGATTACCCAAACTAATTGGTTTAATATCCTACCTTCGACTGTCGACCACCAATTGACATTTCGACTGACATTTGCGTATAGCTTAAAGTATGGGTACATTATTTTTAAAAAATCGTCACGGCATACTTTCTATACACACAATTCTTCGTTCTCGTTATAAAAAAGAGAGCTCACTTGTCGATTTCTACAAATTGTTATCCTTGTTCGTGTTATTCATCTTATTTTCAAGTTCAATTTAAAGCTTTTGCGCCTGCGCCGTCGAACCTTATGAATCGACTACCTATTCTGTTCGGACGGCGCATCAGTAAAAAAATAATGAAAACAGTTTTTTGTTTTTGTCTTTGTTTTGCTTTTTGTTAAAAAATGTTCTTGGTTTTTTGTTGTTGCTGTCTTTATGTTGCTCTCTGTGAATTGTTGGTGTGAAATTTTCTAATTGACTGAAATTGATTTTGTTACAAGGACGCATTGCTTGTTGCTTCGGTTTTAACTCTTCTGAATTTGATCCGGTGTACCAATATAGTTTAATATTAAAGCAAGTACTTTTGTATCGCATAGATCGTCTATATAGCGGCATTAGCTTCCTTATAGAATAAAGAGCACTAAAAATCAAACGGAATGCGTTGTAGAATTGTAGATGCAACGATCGTTAGCGGGAAAAGGGGAAGTTGTTGGAAAGGACTCAACATTACACTTAAAGCTGCATCGACTTACAACGTACAAAGGGACCCGGAACTATGCTCACAAGTCCTACGACATTTGCTACTGTCCTCCTGCGATAAGACCTACTATATAGACCACAAATAATACATACAAGTCTAAACGAATGCTGTAGTAAGTAGTGTGGCAATACTTTCGGGCATAGCTGCGAAATAATTCGGCTTGAAAAGGTTTTCCACTAAGACAGTCGAAGATCGATTCGATCTCAGCCAAATCGATACCTTGCTCTTTAGTTGATCGAGTTCATTGATATATATATATAATACTATATATATATTTCTGGTATGCATGTATATATATTTACGTGTAGGTGTATATATATTTATGTATATTTATATATTGGTGTATATTTAATGTATTCCTTTTTGGTTTTTCTCATAGCTTCTCAGCTTTTTTATTTTACTTTCGTCTCCGTTTGTTGTTGTTTTGAATTATTGCTTTTAGAACATGTCTTAAAAATATATTTATTTATATATTTATATATATGTATGTATAGTCCTTAGCGTAGGTATTATATATACGTATATACCTATATTAGGCAAATATAACATGTTTACCGTTGCTGTCATCGCTCGCTTCCCCATTAAAAATAGCAGCTGGAATTCTCGCCAATGACCTCTGACCCGCCGAGAGGAGTTCCCGCTAAAGTAAGGTCATCATCACCTCTCGTTCAAACACCCGATATGCCAGACTCCCCTGGTCTGATCTTTGTCTATCTAAAATGTACGATTTCTGTCTTTTTTGCTTCATCAATTTGTTCGTTTTGATTATTTAAATTTTAAAAGTGTGGGATGTTCATGACAAAGTCGTCGAGAGTCGAGACTTCGGAAAATCTGAAATGTTTTCTGGATGTGGGAAGGTATAGATATTATATCTCATCCATAATCGGATGGGATTGGATTCTTGGGGTCATCAGATCAACAGTTCAAACGTTAAATGTAGTTTATGTTCCACTGCAACTATTTCTTACTATTTTCATTTTTGCTTTGCTTTAAAACTAGGCATACATATAATTTAGTTTTTGGTTTATTTTTTTGTTTAAGGGGTTTCTGTTTTGGTTACATTTTGGTTTTCCTCGGCTCCCACAATTTCCCACTACGGTATATATGTTATAAGTATGTAAGTTTGTTGGTCCGAGACTTTTCAGCAAAGTCCTGGAGAGCGTTGGTTTGACAATTTGGCAAAAAAGTTATGAAAGGAACATTTTCTCTGTTTCGGCATTTGCTTTTGTTTTCTACTGCTTTTGTTTTTAGTTGTAGTTGTCAGCTCGTCTTGTTTTTTTTTTAGTTTGTTTTTTTGTTGTTGATTTTACGTCGCCTAATGCAAAAAATCTCAGACAGACAAAAAGCGCATCGTATTGTTGTTCTGTCAATTATACAATATTTCTTTTTCTCTGCTATATTTTTGTTTTTTTTTCGAAATTTTTTACCCCACTTGCTGCGCGTGTAACAAATGTTGTTTACTTATCTATCTGATAGGTTCTTGTTTGGTTTGCTTTTTCCAATAATTTAATACTCCATATAGTTGTATA